GAAATGCAGGCCTCCTAAAACACAGCTGAAAACATGGGAATGGTAAAAATGATAAAGCTCCATATGGTTGTATTGTGTGTTATATATGCCTTTTTAAAATGCATTTCTCAGTGTTTTTTCTTGCATAACTTTCCTCTGAAGTTGGAGTTGAATTTACTGTGTTGGTGTTTTTTATAAAGCTCATGCAATGTATTACTTACATTTTTTGTCAATTTTTTTTTTTTTTTGTCAATCCAATTCAGACATCTCATTCGAATACCTTGAATGGCATCTTAGTACAAATGCAAATACCTTCTTCAAAATAATTCCTGTTGTTTGTTTGGCAAGAGCTGAAGACTATAAAAAAAAGGAACTTGGTGGGCTGTAGTAAAGGTTGTTTGGGTGATTTTTTTTTATTTTTATTTTTTACCATTCAATTTCTCAATTTTAAAACTCCATATCTAAATGTCTTCTTCTATTTCAAATATATGTCTATTATTTTCTTCGTGCTCAGTTGTGGACAGATTCTCAATTCCAACTTGGGCTTTTGGAAGGTTGTTTTTTTGTTTTTTTGTGTTTTTAATAAATACAATTTTATAATATATTTTTCTATAATCTGAACATTTTAAATCACTGCTTTTTAAGAAACCGCATTCTTTAAAAAACTTAGCAAAGATTTGTGACGTAGAAGTGCACAGGCATATTTATTTAATGGATAACTAGCCTTATAGCTCTGTATGATCTACGAGCTACTCAACAAATCAGTTGCAAAGGTTGTGGCCAGCAGTGGGATTTCACTGGGGCTCCAAGAACTGCAAGCTTATGTCCTGAGGGTGGGCTCAGCAATCTCTGCTCTGCTGACAGCCTGGAGCCTCGTGCCCAGTCCCCAAACATGGCTTGGAGCCAGCTGTGAGTTGCTCCTTACTGGCCTCAAATTTTGCTTTTCATTGTTCACTCCCAGCTGAGGAAGTGCTCGTTTCGTGTAGTTCCTGTCCAGCTTCCAACATAGTAACATTTCTTTGTACAAAAGCAGTGTCGTTGCTCCAAAATTGGAGTGATTTTTTTTTTTAAAGATCACGAATCCGTTTGATATTTTTCTTAGCTGATTTGCTTATTTTTTTGTGTTCCATTCTTTTATTTGAGAGTTTTAACAAACTTGTTTTTGGCAGGAAGAGATGAAATAAAGCCAAATGGTGTTTGAAATAAAATACTGAATGAATAGTGTATTCCATGTAAAACACACAAAGCTTGCTCTGGTGCCCTCACCACTGCTGGGCTATTTGTCTGTGTTTGTGTTGCCTGTTCCATACTGGAATAACAGGAAGTAGTCACCTCGAGTTAAACCCATGTGTAGTTTTAGTGACCATTAATGTACCACAATGGATTCATTACTTTGTGGATTAGAAGCTGGAATCAGCTTAGTCAAAACTCCTTTAAGGTCTCCCAAGTCCTATTTGTCTGTTTCATTCTATTTCTGTAGCAAAAGCAAGTCTCTGCAATAATGGCATTATTTTTAGTTGCCCTGAGGTGGTTTTTTAATTAATGAAGCAAGGGTGTTGTGCAGCTTCGTGATTTGGAAATATGCAGTTGAAAAAAAAATACAGTAAAAAAACCCAAAAACACAGATTTGCCAACTACTTCTGTATTTTAAAAATGTTTTCAAAAGCTGTTGTATAATAGTTTCTGCATTCTTCTCTTTCCTGGAGTTAATGAACCCAATAAAACATTTTCAAAAACTTTCTGAAAATGTTTTGAATTGTGACAGAAAGAAAATGCAAACACTGTTTTTTCTCATACAGTTCCAAGGACTGTGCAGTTTTGTTCAGGCTCAGCAATGACAAATCGTTTGTATTATAATTTAAATCTTAAGTATCAGAATATACCTGAAATACGTTAAGGCTAACTATCAGGTGCAATACTTAGAGAATCATAGAATCACAGAATGGCCTGGGTTGAAAAGGACCACAGTAATCATCCAGTTTCAACCCCCTGCTATGTGCAGGGTCACCAACCAGCAGACCAGGCTGCCCAGAGCCACATCCAGCCTGGCCTTGAATGCCTCCAGGGATGGGGCATCCACAGCCTCCTTGGGCAACCTGTTCCAGTGCATCACCACCTTCTGTGTGAAGAACTTCCTTCTAATATCTAACCAAATCTCCCGTCTCAGCTTAAAACCATTCTTAGACATAAAGAAGAACTTTTTCTCTCAGAGTGGTCAGGCACTGCAATGGCTGCCCAGGGAGGTGGTGGAGGCGCCGTCCTCGTCCCCGTCCTCTTGAACAAGAGGCGTCTGGATGAGGAGCTGCGAGATTTGGTTTAGTGCTTGTGGTAGCAGAGGTGATGGGAGGATGGTTGGACCAGATGATCTTGTAGGTCCTTTCCAACCTCATGATTCTATGATTCCCCCTTGTCCTATTACTATCCAAAAGAATCAGAAGTACCTTGGTGTAAGTAACATCAAACTGATTATGTAACTTTCAGAAGTTTGTGTAAATGTATACATATGTTAATGCTGAGATACAGTATCGAGTTTATTTGCAGAATGTTTCCTTTACTTTTCAGCATTGAAAAGAAGTGCTTTTCTTCTTGGAATTTTTAAAGGCACCTAGAAGCTGCCAGGCTTTCTTCTCACCTTTATCATGTACAGAGGCTCCGCTTTTGATTGAATAAAGCTAACCGAGTATTAAGAGTAATAAATAAAACATACAGCTTTTCACAGAGTCGGAGTCGTAGGGCTTGGAAATGACCTCTGGAAATCAGAGAATCCAGCCCCATGTTTCCTACAGTATGTTCCACAGGAAATCACACAGGCAGGTTTTGCATCTCTCCAGAGGAGACCACAACCTCTCCACCTTACTCAGCAAATATAATTCTTTTCTTATTATTGTTTAGGAAGCAACAGGAGATATAATACTGTTGAAATGAACTAAAACCTGTGATAACTTGACAATAATAAATAATGGACTTCCTTTGTTGTAAGTTAATTGAATTCCTTTGTTGTATACACATTGTGTCCAACACCCTAGTGTCCTGAGGGATAACAGGGAGGATTTTGTTTGCTATCGTCTGTGGGTATTTTGTTTTGTCCTTCTTCACATTAACAGTCTTGAAGCCCTTGAGAACAAAGGGTAGCATTAAGAACAATTATTAAAATGTAAAAATTGTAATAAAAATAATAATACTGTGCTCTTTAATGTCTGTCAGGGGAATGGGATCAATCTAGATACTCTCCCATTTCTTGTAAGTCCAAGATTTTTTCTGGGATAAGGGAAAAGTAGTGTCAACAGATCATTTTATCTGATGTGAAAGGAAATGAGAACAGAATTGAAGCTGGGGCCTGGATGGTAGGCTGCAGCTTTAGTAGCACAGAGAGAAGTAACACTGTTGTGTTCCCAGTCTTAGCTGTGTGTATTGCTTCCAGAGGATCAAAGCAAAGGTGAGAGGCCACTCCTCGCGTACCACCCAGATTCCTGGAGGTACTCTTCAGCCTAGGGCTGAGTTCCAGTTTACTCTTCAGAACCATCCTGCTCCATCCCTGCTCTGGATGAAATGATAGCGATGGTGTGGGGATGTCACTACAGAAAGTGTGGCTTAAAAACGGGGAAGATTTTCTTTGAGACCAGATTGTACAGTAGGAAGATCTGTTGCACAATTCTTAGTCATAGCATGTCAGTCTTCTGTTGTTAGCTGTATTTATTATCAGCTATTATGGCAGCAGGGTAGGGAACCTGCGTTCAGTTTCTTTTTGGAATGCCATGCTACATGGCAAACGGACAACACGAGAGGATTAAGCACTGAAACAGAGGATCACTGAAGACCTTTCTTCCACTTTAAAGAAAGGATGGCATTCACAGATTTCCTATCTCTTTGATTGCAGCAGTGAAGGAAAGTAGAAACAGAGGTAATGCTGCATCTAACCACCATCAAAGTCTCCTAAGGCAAAGCAGAGCATTTCAAGCATTGCTGTTGTACAGGAACTTACAGATGAATAATTTTGACAGAGGTGCTCAATTCATCCGTTTACCATTTGAGTTAGCAGGACCGCTCTCCCTTTATGCACTTGTTGGCCGTTGCTGTTATCTTGGTCAAGTTTGGAGTAGTGAGACTGGTTATTGATGGAAGTGAAGCAAAGTGGAGGCTGACAGGGGCAATGAAGAGTGATGAATTGCAGCTTGTGTTGCAGGAAACAGGAACAACACCAAAAGTGGCAAGACTTACCTAGTGGCAATAGTTTTGAGCTGAAACTGTACCTTTGTACAGCAAACTGAGCCCAACATGGCAAAATTATTAAGAAGATTTTTGAGCTTCTGCCAGTTTGTTCACAAAAGCAAAATTATTTTTATGATCCTGAAAAGATGAGATGCTCTAGAGGTGTGTCTGCTAAACTTTGGATCCTTCACCTTCTTGCAGTTAAAGAAAGTAATCTTCAGAAGAAGCACTGAAGGAGCAGGGAGGAAGCTTGAGCTAGTGGCAAGATACGAGGGGATCAACAAGATCCATTTTCCTTGTATCCTTTCTATCAGACACCTTTTGTTGTTGTTGTAGTTGTTTGTTTGCTTTGCTCAGGCATATTCCTGTTCCTTCCACTTAAAGAGATGATCATTCTCCAGATCGCGTTATCAGTCTGATTGTATGAATGACTTTTGTGTTGTTTCTGATGATAGAACATGGTGGTTCTTGCAAATTTGTGCATCAGTCTTGAGACATAATATTTGAGCTGTGCAGTATTTACTGGGTTGTGGTTTCAAGCATTTTCTCAGCATATTGAATCCTGCAAATAATTACCTTGTATTAGACCAAATAAATTTTAATTGAATGTTTGCTCTTTTATATACGCTGTGTTCCATTTCAAAGTTCTAAAGGTTAGGGCTAGTTTTATTTTGTTTAATAAAATATTGGCTTTATTTGTTGTCTGGCTTTAGGATTATATTTATTTCCTTATATTAATAAATAAGCATGGTTTTTCAATATGTGTATTTCTGATGGTTAAAAAAATGTGTTTTCTCTCTTTCTCTTTTCAGATCTATCAAAGAACAGATTAACAGAGATTCCTACGGAGTTGTGCCATTTTGTGTCACTGGAAACACTAAATCTATACCACAACTGTATTAAAATTATTCCAGATGCCATAGTGAATTTACGAATGCTAACTTACTTAAATTTGAGGTAAGTTTGTCGACTATGTTTTCTGTTTAATTGCAAACGTGTCAGGAGTTTTTGTCTGTACTTTGTGTTCTTGGCACAGTTGACTACATTTTTCTTTTCATTGCAAACTGTAATGCAAAAAAAGTCATTGCTTGTAGCTCTCTATATGAAGACATTGTAAAGGCTAAAATGAAAAACTTAGTTATTTAAGGATGGACTAAGTAACATGCATCCTTTTGCTTATTCTTTGAACAAATTAAGAATGCTAATTGAAACAGCATGGTTGGATTCTTTTCATTCCCACTTAATAATAAATTTTGTGAAGTTAGGTGTGCTTATTGTAGGGACAGAAGATCAATGCTTTCCTCAAGGGAGATGGACAGGAAAAGTGTGATTTTTATCACTGATATCCTCCTCTTATGACACACTTGTAATTGCTACCTTTTTTAGGAAGAAGTGACAGAGAATTAGACACCTCTGTCTCTTTTCCAGGAAAACTGTTCATGAATACTAATCAATATTGAGAATGTCTATTGGTTAAAGTGCAACTGAATGTTGTTTTTTTTTTTTGCTTTTGAGAGGATATATGTCAGCACTTTTTCATCTGGGACAAGGCATGGAGGTGTATTTGCAGTTGAGTATATGTAGAAACTGTAATGATGAAGATATAATAATATGGGATTTAAGAATGAGGTTCATGTACCATGGAATTCTAATTTTGGTTTTAAAAACTGAAACAGAATAGTGTGTCCTGAGTACGTAGAATCACAGAATCACTCAGGTTGGAAAAGACCTTAAAGGTCATTCTGTCCAACCACGACCTAACCATACTACCCTACACATACTACCCTGCTACATGCACACACGTCAAGAGTAGGACTTGTAAATTTGAAGTAGTGTTACAGTTAGATCTGCATAAAGAAATTAAGATGGGGTGAAATCAAATTTGCATAGAACATCTTCATAAATTTATGAGTTAGAATGAATTATTTCAGTGTAGTGATGGAATGTGAGTCATCGCAAACCCAGAATACTCAAAAGTTGCTATCAGATATCACATTAAGGTTGGGCATTCTAAACAAATGGAAAATTTACAAGTTTTACTAATTAAAGATATTTCCCTCAGCTTAAAATCTCCTGAAATAATTTTATCTTTGCTTGGATATGACCTTCCTCAATACAAGTTGAACACAGCAAGCAATCTGTAGAAGAGAGATTGATTTTGTAGCCATGTTTCTTCCTGGCAAGAAAAAGGCAGCCAATCTAAAATGAATATTTTTGTGTCTCGTACCAGGAAAGCCCAGATGTTAAACCGAGTTAGAAAGTAATGCCAAGAGATGAGTGGTATCCACAAAAGCACCAAAACTATATACGAGTTTTATTTAAGGAAATTGTTTTTAAGCAATGTGCTTGGCAGAGGTGTCTCACTGGCGTTCAGAAAAGCCTGTGGGTGATTTGGAGCTGATCTTGTTTTGCTAGGCTCTAATTTGAATAAAGAAATATATGGCATGACAAGTAATACTTTTTCTTAGAGATTAGGTCCTATATTCTCCTTGTTAAAGAATGCTGTTCCTCATACTCTCCTGTGAGTCCCAAAACATCGCTGATGAAAATGCTCCCTATGAAAGTCTTATTTTTGTTGTATGACTTAATCAACATCTGGGAGTAATCATCTGAAATGTTTTCCCATGCAGTTAAAACAAATCATTTTTAGTGTCACAGAATCATAGAAATGCAAGGGTTGGAAGTGACCTCAAGAAATCATAGAGTCTGACCCTCCTGCTAAAGCAGGTACCATACAATAGGTCACACAGGTAGGCATCCCTACATTTCTTGAATATCTCCATAGGAGGAGGCTCTACAACCTCTCTGGGCAACTTATTCCAGTGCTCTGTCACCTTTACCATGAAGAAGTTCTTTTGCACCATAATACAGAACTGTCTTGTAGCGTAAGATTGTTGCAATCTGCCCTATTTTTTTTGTTTGTTTTTTTCAAATGATGAAGGAAAATATTTTGGAGTATGTTGTCTATAGGTTACAGGGCTGGGAAATAGGTGTTTTTACTTGCTCTTTTAACACTTCAATGAACTTTGTGAGATACAAAAATGTACGTTGTTCTTGTTCTGTGGTTTTCACTTTTTCAAGATGAAAAATAAAGTTGTTCCCTATAGAGTGAAATGTTTGTTAGACAGTCAGAATACGGTGATGTGTAATAGCAATTTTTATGAATTGATGCTAAATTGAATTGTTGCCCGGCTGCCTTCTATCAAATTAAGAGAGGAATAATGTTGTGGCTTATATTCATTAACCAGTGAACAGGAAGCAGATCAGGAGCAAAAAGGATGCATTTAAAAGGAGTATATTTTTTTTTCCTCCAGACTTTGATTCCTTACAAAAATGTTCACCACTAAGTTTGGGATGTCTGTGAGGTTGGAGGAATAGCAACAAGTGCAAAGTGGTCTTCAACTCTGAATGTACTATAAAAGGAATTGGGAAAATAGCCAGTTAATCTGGAATTCTTTTTTGTTCATTTTCAGTTTAACCAAAAGCCATATAGAGTAGACTGTAGAGAAAACATAGAAATATTGAAATACCTGCTAAGTACTGCCTCAACTGAGTTTCTGGTGTTCGTTAGGAGGGGAAGCAGCTATTGTAGATGAAAATCACTTTTAAATTGTTGTTAAAGTGATATATATTTTTTTTTCCAGAGTGGTGATTCTCCATTGACTGTTTAGTCAGTAATTGCAGGTATTTATGATCTAGAAATGTTTTCCTAAAGATTGCAATTCCAAAACTTGCATGTTATCTGCAAGAAGTCTGACCCATCAGAATGTAGGAGTCATACAACTAGAACTTCATGCAAGTGTGCAGTAGAATGTCATTGGTGTTCTTAATGGTTGTTTTCTTTCTTTATTTTGTTGCAGTCGAAATCAACTTTCTTCTTTGCCAGCTTGCCTGTGTGGTCTTCCTCTGAAAGTCTTAATTGCAAGCAACAATAAGCTAGGTTCCCTTCCAGAAGAGATAGGTCAGCTAAAGCAGTTAATGGAACTGGTATGTTACTAATTTTGCTATTTTGTTTTTATTTGTATCTAACTAGAATCAATAAAATACTCTTTGCAAAGATGTTGGAACAAATGCCTCCTATAATGCCATATAATATAATTTGACTTCTGAAATGTATTGAGTAGTAACAGTAATTCCCTTTTTTTGCTCTTCAGGACTATTCTAAGTAACATTGTTGCCTTTGTTCATTCAAAACTCAGCTTGTATGTTTAATTTCTTTACCTGTTGTACTGAATACATGCTCTGGCACCTTGTTTTGCTGTGTTTCTGGTTCTGGCATCAGGTTCTGCAAAGCTGTACTGTCATCCAATATCACCTCTCTTCTTCCCTTCTCCCAGTGCTGTCTGCTTACCACGCTGCATTCTGCTAATGAAACTGATCTTAGCAGTCTGTTTGCATTTTGTTTCACTATTTTTGTCATGCAACTTTGCTCAAACATCTGTCTAAACAGATTTACAGGCTATATTCCTCTCAGTTTTTCAAAGCTGACTGGATGACTACTATTTCTGCATGCAGTAGTTTTGCATCTACAATACATTGTCAAACAAATGAGAATCAGGAAGTGCAGAAATTATTTGAGACATAACTTAAAATTTATTTAGTTATATATGGTTTCTAAAATTATGTGTATGAAATTATGTATATGAGTGCTTCCCTTTCCTCCTCCTTTTATCTACATCTTTTTATGTTGTATGCTTCCTGAACTCTCTCTGGCACATGTGTAATGCCTTGTGATTGTTTCTGTTCACCTTGACCTCTCAGTTGGAAAACAAACAATTTCTCATAAACGAACTGCCAGTTTATGCAGAGCAAAACAATGAAATGTGAACTTTCTCCCAGCTGCTGATATCACCATTGGCTTGTCTTGTGCATCTTGTTGCTATCAGAAAGTACCTGCTTATCATATTGACGTTTTTATAATAATAGTTTCTCCACTGAATTCTTTTGAGCTAACCTTGCTTTAGGAGCCAGTGCTGGTCCTGAGTCCTCATACGGGAAGCAACAACTATGGGGCTTTCTCCTTTCTTCCATTTTTTCCTGTACAACACTGTTGTATCAGGCTTATACTGTTTATTGTAATGAATCTGGTTTGGGGAGGGAAGAAGTTACCTTTTATACCCAAGTTAAACACTGCCAGTTTTGTTCTATTACTGTTTACTGATTCTTAGGAAGTATTAATAATTTATCTAGCAGTTTGGAGTACTTTTCTTAAGGGATTTAATCAGGTTACTGAAATTGTTTTGATTGAATTACCTTCAAAAACATGTCAGGCTGTAGTATTGCTTCTATTGTGCTTAAAGTAGATTCAGTAAGAAATTATAGGTCCAGTCTTATTTATGGCTGAGCAGTACTAAACACATCCTAACTTAGGGGATAGAATGACTGGACAGAACTGTTAAACTGAAGGAGTGAGTAATAATTCTTGGTAGATTGGGCATACCTCTGTTCAGATGCCCTCATTACTTAGGTTGGTTCTACCATGAGTACTTTGAACATTTCCAATGAAATAAGTTGCATTATTGAGCTCGAAATGACTGGGATGAAGCACTGAATTGAGAGCTGTATCTGGATAGTTGTATTTACCATCATGCAGCTTAGATAATAAAGTGGTTGTTATTCTAGAACGAATAGAGGGGAAAAAAAAGATTAGATCATGCTGCAGTTGTTGTTGCATGAAATGTTCATCTGTGTGAGAGCAATGCCAGCCTGAATAACATGCAGGTGACACTACCAGGCAGCTCCTTGGCAGGGCATGCTCTTGTTTTGGGACATACACACAATGCTGATGCTGGCCTGGCCCAAGGGATCAGTCCTGAGAGGTGGCAGACACCAACTGCCTGCATTCGGTTCTTGGTTTACCAGCACTTTGGCAAGCATCAGATTTTCAGTGTTTTACAGCTTTTCCTGGGCTGCTTGCAATAAATCTGAATGTACATAGCAAATGGTTTTTCTTTTTCAATCTAACTTCTGAAACAGGTTTTACTTCTGTGGTCACTCTAGAAAGGTAACAGCAGTCATGCTGCAGGTTAAGTCAGGTCTTCCCAAATAATTGTTTTCTTCCTTCTCTTTTTTTATTACATTTTGATGTTTAGAAGCATTTAGTAGCTGTGACATTGAATGACTGGTACATTAAGTAATGATAATTTTTACATTTTCTTTTAAATTGTAGGGTAGGGTTCTTCTGTGCAGTCCGATAGTTGTCTTAAAGGCATTGAGCTGCGTGCCACAGAAGTTGTTGTTAAATTTCAGGGAGCCTTACTTTTCTCTAATTGTGAGAAATTATCCATGTTGTCATGCTAGCAAATAACCAATGAGGACATAATGATGTTAATGCAAGAAGTCTGACCTTCAGCAAAGATTAACCCTGTAACCTGAATAGTAGTTTGGACTTGATTTCAACTGTCTGTGGATGCCCATCAAGTGAAGTTCCAAACTGCTAGTTGCCACATTTCTCCAAAAATGTAATTGGCTTGAAAGACACAGGCATTTGACTTTGGCAATAATGAAAGCAATATAACCAAAGTAATTGGAAAGTTTAAGGTAAACACTGTCACATATATACTCATAAAGTATAGTAAGTATAACTGGAAATAACATAGTAGGTCTCTCTAGTTATGCATAGTAGTAAAAAATATATATCTGAAGTTAGATTAGTAGGATACAGCTGTCTGCAGAGCTCTGGTGAATACTGACATGGCTGTCATAAGAGATCAGTCTTTTAGTGGATACTTTGAGGCTCCGCACTGTCAGACATTCCTTTTGCACTTCCTTTAAAACTCTTTTTCCCTTACTTGTTCTGATGTGCATGTAAGTGTACTTGATCTAGAGTTTCTCTACCACAAGGTGACTTTGAATTTCAATTTTTTGCTCTAAAGATGAGTGTCTAATAATAAACTCACTTAAAGTTCGTAAATTGAAAATAGGACAGTAAAGCTTTAAAAATAAATGATCTGGGGACATTGCAATTAACAGCACCACAGTTTGGATAAAAGAAGCACTCGTTAACTGGTGTTTTTAATTTCCTTGTCTTAAAGTTAAAATTCCCTGACTCTGTTTTGACAAGGGAAGGAAATTTTGGCAACAGTGAGATGATGAGAAGAAACACATCTGATAAAAAGAATGACACTGCCAGATCAGATCTTGCTATTACTGTTGTTTTGCATTAACTAATTTTTAGAATCGAAGGTACAGAGTTAATGTAATGCTTTTCACTAGTATTGAAGCAGCCATCTTCAAGGAGATGACTTGGAAGTCTGACTGACTTTGAGGAATTCTGTAGTTGAAGAGCTCCCATGTGCTGTACAAATCCATCATCTGAAACAATCAAGAATGGCCATGAACCCTCTGAAAGGGGTTTATAAGGATTTTACCCTTAATCTGTTGGGGAAAATTTGGCATTACACCCCGCTTGGCTCTCATAAGATACAGGGCTTTCTCTATTTTCTATTCAGAAAGTAACGTGACTGAAACTGACAGATTACCTGGCATTTAGCCACAGGTTTCAATGCCCTTCTGATTCCATACTGGGTTTAGACAGTTTGGCAGTACAAGTGATAGCTAATATGTGATAACTATCTTGCTTTAGACTGACTTAATCCAATAAGTTGATTTTTATTTTTTTAGAACCGATTAATGGCAGTTTTTTGTGATAACTTAATAGCGATAGTATCATAAAAATATCATACTTCACAGTAATGCTGGTGTATAGGAGTTGCTTCCTTAAAATAATATTCACTTGCTTAGCAACATTCAACACCTTAAGCTTAGCTCAACTTTACAGTGGTTATTCCTTTGGAAATGCTAAAATGACCACTGGTTAGAGCACTCTAAAACCAGCTGAATTTAGACCTCAAAATCAGACCTGCTTAGAACCTGTCTAGGCTTGTAAGAATGAGCTGTTACAGTAATATGTTAAATACCTTGTAATTACAAGCAAGGCCTGCTCTATTTTAGTGTGGCCTTCTATTTGATTGAATACACGCCTTCTCTGGACATTTTTCTGTTTTCTATTTATTTTTAACTTTTGTTTTAGTATTTTCTCTATAAGAATCTTTTTAAAACTCAAATTCACACAGTAACAGTTTTATACATCATCCGAAAGGTTTTTAGTTTATATAATCATGTTGCTGAAATACATATGTGAGCAAAGAGGTAGAATGTGTTAAACAAATTGTTCTGAATGTTTGTACAGAATTAACTTTCAAAATTCACTTCTGAATAAATATTTGCTCTGGGCTGTGAATAACATGTAAATATTTTCTCACGTCTCACTTTGCCCACTGAAGGCAAGATGCTTATAGTTGTGTGTTTTCAGTTCAATAAAATGTTACCCTGATAATAACATACTAGCTACAATTTCTCACTTTGCAGACAAAAGTTCATTATTTCTGTTTCTTTTGCTGTAGGATGTCAGCTGCAATGAAATCACAACTTTGCCACAACAGATAGGCCTGCTGAAATCTTTAAAAGAACTGAATGTCAGAAGAAATTACCTCGAAGTTTTACCCCAAGGTATGAGTTTTGAAAAATCTATAATAAAGGCATTAGGATTTTTGGTATTTTGGAAGTCTTTAATCGTGTGAGCAAGCAATAATAGAAAATAACTACCTGCTGTTGAAATGTTTTCTATTTGAGTTCACTGTGTGTCTGGAAACAATAGCATTGAAGACTTCAATTAATTATCTTTATGATTCTAGGTATCTTAAGCTGCGCAGATGCTTACCTGTGAATGCAGATAACTGTCAGCTGCTTCTAAGTGTTTTAAAATCTGTTGTCACTTGTGTTTCATTAACATTCTTTTCCTCTGTTCTATACAGAAAAACAAAACATTCCTGTCAGAATTTGTATTTCTTAGAAAGAGGGGGGAGGGGAGGAAAGAGGATATTATGTCCTGTATTTTATTACCTGAGGAATAATAGTCCTTCTTTTTCTTTTCTGATGACACAAATAAAAAAGTTTATTTAGAAAAATTATTTAATTACAAAAAATCACTACAGCTATAATACCTTTTGTCTTTTCTATTGTTTTTAGAACTAGTACAGCTTCCCTTGGTGAAGTTTGACTTTTCCTGCAATAAGGTGCTTGTGATTCCCATTTGTTTTAGAAAGATGGCACAGTTACAAGTACTGCTGCTTGAGAACAATCCTTTGCAATCTCCACCAGCACAAGTAAGTAACATATGTCATTTAAATTGTGCCTTAATATTGGGTGGATGATGACTTAGTCTATAAAATGTCAGCTTCTGCAATTGCAGGTATCTGAATTTGAGTAATGACAGACATTAGTTGTGACTATATAAACAAGACAAAGTGTCCTATATTCTCTGTGTCTGTACACTACTTGAACCAATGCTGTTTTGGAAGATTTCCACTGTTAGCTACCTATTCATTTTGTTGCTCCTATCTCCATCTGAAGCTTAATGTATATGTGTATAATTTCAAAAAAGAAGGTTTTTGGGAAACTTCCTTGATAAATCATGGAATCATAGAGTATCACAGGTTGGAAGGGATCCACAAGGTCTAACTACTGTCTCCATGCAGGACCACCCAAAATTCAAACCTGAGAGCATTTACAGTCAGTACTTGAACTCTGGCAGATTGGGATTGTACCCTCTGCCCTGGGAAGCCTGTTCCAATGCCCAGCCCACCCTCTGGTGAAGAAAGTTTTCCTGATAATCCAGCATGAGCATCCTCTGATGCAGCTCCATGCCTTTTCTGTGGGTCCTGCTACTGTCACCAGAGAGAAGAGATCAGCTCCTGCCTTTCCCTTTCTGTAGTGAGGAAGTTGTAGGCTTCCATGAGGCCTCTTTTCAGTCCCTCTTCTCTAAGCTGAACAAACCATAGGATTTCAGCAGCTTCTCATAGGTCTTCCTCTCTAAACCCTTCACCATCTTCATAGCCCTCCTTTGGACACTTTAAAACAGTTTTATGTTCTTCTTTTTTGTGCCCTAAACTGTGCACAGGACTTGAGGTGAGGCTGCACGGACAGAGAGCAGAGTGGTGTGGTCCGTTCCATCACCTGCCTAGCAGTCCATGACTCGGTTGGCTCTTTTGATTGCCAGTGCACACTGCTGATTCTGGTTTCCAACAACCAGAACCTCAAGATCCCTTTCTGTGGGACTGCTCTCCAACTTCTTGTTTCCCGCTCTCTATACATATCCAGGACTGTCTTGTCCCAGATATAGAATTGCTCTTGTTAAATTTCATGTGGTTAGTGATTGCCCAGCCCAGTTTATCAAGATCTCTCTGGGTGGCCTCTTTGTCCTTGAAGGAGAAAAATTTCGTTGGGCCCTGAAGACCAGCTGAAGCAGCAAATCCTGCAGGTGTTCAGAGCTGCCTGGGATTTTGTTTCCCTGGTCATGGTCTTCCAACTTGTGGTTCTGGGTTAATAAAAGCCCATTTCTAGAAAGTTTTTTGCTTTTATTTACTATACATAATATATACATATTCTGACAGCCTAGAACATAATCTACATGACTAATTTTTTTTTTTTTACTCTATGTATGACAATAAATTTACAGTAGAGGAAATTCAGATCCTGTTATGAATGTAGACCATGCTGAGAAATGATCATAAATGGAACTTCTGTTTGCTGCTTAAGGACAACTTTGTTGACTTACTGGACCCTAGATTCAAACTTTATCAAGTACACTTGTTTTAGATCAGTAGCTGTTGAAGTATTTGAGAGTTTTTATTACATTAGAGAAGCTCCTTTCTTTAACTAATCGTGGTGATGCAATTACTAAGCTCAAAACATGGAATCATAGAATTGCTCAGGTTGGAAAAGACCTTAAGGATCAAGTCCAACCACAACCTAATCATACTAACCTAACTCTAACAACCCTCCACTAAATCGTGTCCCTGAGCACCACATCCAAACACATCTAGGGATGGTGAATCAACCACCTCCCTGGTGAGCCCATTCCAGTGCTTAACAATCCTTTCTGTAAAGAATTGTTTCCTGATATCCAACCTAAACTTTCCCTTGTGCAACTTGACGTGATTTCCCCTCGTCCTGTCACCCAGGAAGCATGTGAGTTAGAGTGCAGTCAAAGAAAAGAATGTAAAGGCAAGTGAAATGCATCATAAAGATGCTTGAACACCATGAAACCAGTATGACAGTGTGTAAAGGATGTATTGGTTAATTAAATGTTACTGCTGACTAATTTTGTAAAATAATGACTTAGTTTACAGTTGGCAATAGGCCTAAATATGTTTTATTAATCATAATCCTTTATGAGAGAATTTGGATTTTCTAAAATATAATACATTCTTTTGCTGTTTTCTCTCTTAGAGTATCCACTGATGCACTCAAGTTGTTCTTAATCGTTTCTTTAAAAATACAATCCTGTTTTCCTTGACGTTATTTCTATTGTGACTTCATGAGTTGGTTTTCAAGTAGTTTTACACTAAGCGAAATTTGGAATACGTTTCCTTTTTTCTACATATAAACCCATCTTTTTTTCCTAACAGATTTGTACAAAGGGGAAGGTGCATATATTCAAATATCTGACAGTACAGGCCTGTCAGATTAAAACAGCAGACTCACTGTATCTTAATGCCATAGAACAGCCACATTTGCCACAACCTGTGGAAGAAAGGTATGAATAAAGATCAATCTTATTTTTTGCGTGTAATATTTATTATCTTGGAACAAAGTGAAAAATGGTTTTATCCTTAGCTTCTACGGTTTTCATTGTTTAGGTTCCATTTAGACAGCTCTTTTCCAAGCAGAACTTTCTTTTGCTTTATTTTATTCTTATGAAACCCTTAGAAGGATTTAGAATAAAATAAAGTATTTTTAACAACTGATTCTGATTAATGTCAGCAGCATGTTAGGAAAGAGCTTGGAAGTAAGCCTTTGCTTAAATTTAACCTTCTGCTAGTATACTACTGGAATATATTGAAAGTAATTAAGAAGGTAGTATAACCTGGTGTTGGATCTTCACTGTAAATCTATTAATATACTAAAAAGAAATTCACTTCTTGCTTCATTTTGTGATTTATGTGTTATTAGAGTTGTGTAATTCTGTTAAGCGTTTTTTCTTCATAGAATCACAGAATGTCTTGAGTTAGAAGGGATCTTAGCCATCCAATTCCAACCCCCTCCACAGTGGGTATGGTTACCACCCACTAGATGGGGTTGCCCAAAGCTCCATCCAACCTGGCCTTGAATGCCTCCAGGGGTGAGGCACCCACAGCTTCTCTGGGCAGCTGTGCCAGTGCCTCACTCACCTCTGGGTAAATAAATTCCTCCTAACATCTAATCTAATTCATCCAACAAAGAGAATTGAGTGGGTGTTGATATTCTTTTGAAGTGAAATTAAATTTTATTAATAATTTATTTGGCAAAATGAAAGACAGTGTCTTCAATTTCTTAGACCAAGAGAGGGAGATCCTTTTTATGGGAATCTTTGAAGCTAATTGGAAACCAAATCATAGCCAGCTCTTTCTTTGCCAGTGTGAGAAGTTTATATTAAACAACCATGGAAAAATTATGGGGATGCCCAGTAAAAACAAAATGTTGATGAAAATACAAACAGAGATGTTGCTAGCACTCTGAGGGATAAAAAAAAAAGCTGTTTTAGAGTCTCCCTGTCAATATTCTGGTAAAGGGCTAGTACAGAAAGGATACCAGCTGATAACTAGCAGTTCAGTGTTCTGTCACAGAGAAAGTACTGAAGCTAAAATAGATGCTTGAGGATGTATTCTTACTGTTTAACCTTTAATTTTCTTATGATGTATTTTATTCAGTTAATGATTTGAATGTGTGTATATTTTGTTTAGTTGGAAAATATGATCCTTTGCTTTAGAGAATTATTTCACACTTCAAAAGGAAAAAAACAACCTGGTTAAGATTTCCATAGTACTGATAAAAATCACAGTATACTTAGATTCAAATAATCTAACACATCACCCTTCCCCCTATATCTGTCTGCCCACCTACCCTGCCCCAAGCGAGAACAGCTGGAGGCTTACATCCAGATGGCCATTGAATGTCTCCAATCTTTTGAGTTTACTAATAACAGATAATCGGAGATTAAGCTGAATCAAATATCTTCTTCATGTGAAGATCGTTAAAGTACTTCTCAAAATCGCTGTGTTAATCTCAATTTAGGTTTGCAACATTCAGAATTGCAAATGAGAAGGAAGTAAAGGAAAAAAAATAGTTAACTGATGAGTGTATTCATCTGTTGGTGTACTTTAAAATGAGCGGAGGTCGTATTGGGCAATAATAAAAATCCTGAAGAAATGGCAGTTGCAATTATTATAGTCATTTTCTGGAAATATTAAATTTCAAAATCTATTTTAAAGCCTCCAAAGGAGGTTTCTATGTTAATAATTACTCCAAGCTCTAGGGAGTTAACAGTTCGTTTTTAATGGATTGATGGTTACTTTTAAATTAGTTGACTCCAGTTTGAGTTCAGCTAGTGTAGTTTTCTGTGACATGGCTAAATTACTTCAGTCAGAATCCTGTGCTACTTGGCTATTAGCTAAATATTTTTGTCCAGCGCACAGACAAAAGCAATGACCTTTATGATGGATTGTTCTGTTGTTTTCATTAATCCATAAGCTAATGAACCATTCCATCATCCTACTTTACTACCAGCAGACTGCAGATGTGTAGTTTGTATCCATACTAAGCTAGTTTGTGGGTCCTGATGAAATGCATTCTAGAGTCCTGAGGGAATTAGCTGATGTAGTTGCCGAGCCACTCTCCATGATATTTGAAAAGTTATGGCAATCAGGTGAAGACCCTGATGGTGACTGGAAAAAAGGCAGCATCACATTCATTTTTAAGAAGGGAAAAAGGATGACTCTGGGAACTACAGACCTGTCAGTCTCACCTCTGCCTGGAAAGATCATGGAGTAGATCCTCCTGGAAGCTGTGCTAAGGCACATGAAAGGCAGGGAGGTGATACAAGAAAACCAGCATGTCTTCACCGAGGGCAAATTCTGTTTGACCAACCTAGAGGCTTTTTACAATGGTGTCACTGCATCAGTGGACAAGGTTGGAGCCCTTGATATCATCTATCTCAACTTCAGTAAGGCCTTTGAAATGGCACCCCACAACGTTCAGCTCTCCAGATTGGGAATGTGTGGATTTGATGGGTAGACTGTTTGACGGACAAAGAACTTGCTTGCAGTGGATCAAGTCCAGAGAGTGGCGGTCAATTGCTGAATGTCTGGATGGAGATCAGTGATGAGTAGTGTCCTGCAGGAGTCAGTGCTGGGACCAATACTCTTTAGTGTCTTCATCAGTGACTTTGACAGTGGGGCCACGTGCACACTCAGCAAGTTTGCAGATGACACCAAGCTGTGCGATGCAGTCAATACACCAGAGGGATGAGATGTCATCCACAGGGACATGGAGAGCTTTGAACAGTGAGCCCGGGTGAATCTCATGAGGTTCAACAAAGCCAATTGCAAGATCTTGCACCTGCCTCAAGGCGTCCTCTGCTACCAATACAAAACAGGGAAAGAAAGGATTGAGTGCAGCCCTGCCGAAAAAGACCTGGGGGTAGTGGTAGATGGTTAGCTGGACGTGAGACAGCAATATGCTCTCACAGCCTAGAAGGCCAATCGTGTCCTGGACTGCATCCAAAAGCAGTGTGGCCAAGCAGGATGAGGGAGGTGATCCTGCCCCTCTGCTCTGCACTGGTTAGACCTCACCTGGAGTACTGCATCCAAATGTGGAGTCCTCAGCACAGGAGGGACATGGACCTATTGGAGTGTGTCCAGAGGAGGGCCACAAAAATGATTGAAGGGATGGAACACCTCTCTTATGAGGACAGGCTGAGAGAGCTGGGGCTGTTCAGCATGGAGAAGAGAAGGCTCTGAGGTGACCTGAGTGCGGCCTTTCAGTATCTAAAGGGGAGCTACAGTAAAGAAGGGGACAGACTCTTTAGCAGGGTCTGTGGTGTTAGAACAAGTGGAAATGGCTTCAAGCTTAAAGAGGGCAGATTTAGGTTGAACATAAGGAAAAAGTCTGTTAAAGTGAGGGTGGTGAGGCACCGGAACAGGTTGCCCAGTGATGTGGTTGATGCCCCATCCCTGAAGACTTTCAAGGTGAGGCTAGATCAGGCCCTGGGCAAACTGATCTAGTGGTGGTGTTCCTGTTCACTGTAGGGGAATTGGACTAGACATCCTTCAGAGGTCTCTTCCGACTCAAAGGATTCTATGATTCTATGATTTCTTCACTGACATTGATAATTGTTGGAATTTTTCTCGAAGTGAAAATGGGACAGAATTCTAACTGTACATGCTGTGATACCTTTCAGTTGTTTTCTGTTCACATCTAGCATTGATGACCTCTACCCAAGTAAAAAGGACTCGGATTCAGGTGTTGGTAGTGACAACGGTGATAAGCGTTTGTCAGCAACAGAGGTAAGTTGCCCCTTTCTCCACACTCTTATTTCTTAATATGTATAGCTACATTTTTAGCTATGAAAACTGTGCAACCACGTCCATGGCATGAATTTATCACTTATAAAACTTTAAAATAAAGATAAAAGAAGATTGGGATTTTTTTCCAGTTTTGTATCCATTTTTTTGGGAGATGGCAGTGAGATACTTAATCACAAATTACTAACACCAGTAGAAAAAATTCAGTACAATTTTCAGCCAGTTTTAGGTGATAATCTAGAAAATGGAGTCCAAACCAGAATGCTGTCTACTCGTTCCAACCAAATAAATGTTATACAAATGTTATACGTCTGGCTCCTAGTTTCCTCTTCCGAATTTTTCATGTGGGAGATTAACTTGAGTTTGTATTCTCAGTCCTGATATGTTCTGTGGTGTCGTGGTTATGGAAGTTTTCTGGAGAGCAAGAGCTTCAGAATTTTTGCACATCTTCATGTGCATCTATGCTGTGTCTTTCCGTTCTCTGGCAGTTAGGGAGTGCTGGAAATAAGCCTTCTGAATTTTTCTTGAGCTATTTTGTGTGAGTGGGCAAAGAAAAAGATTGACTTCCTGAGAGTGATGTTGTACTAAGCAGTTACAGCTACAGTTACACGTTTCCTAGAATTTATTTCTGAGGCTCTACTCAGCTGAACAGAGCACTAATTCCTGGGAAGTCTTTTCTTAGGTATTCAAATGAGCAGTTAGTTAGACTTCATAATAATTATAAATAAGTAAGTAACTTGTACTTCAGTAAGAATCTTTCTGAAATGTATAATTAAAAGAATTTGTGGTCTGACTCAATGAGTATAAAAGAATAGTTTTCTTCCTACTTTAAAAAAAGAAAAAAAAGAAAAAAAAGCAATAATTTTCATGTATTTTTCTCTTTCTTTGAGGAAAAGTCTGTTGCTTTTGACACTTGTTTGGAAAGAATCAAGCTTAGATACTGAATTAGCAATACTGCCAAAGCAAATAGAAAATGAATCCAGTTATACTCTGTTAAATACAGGAACACATATAAACACAGTGGTTGCCAATTATTTGGGAAAGCCTTTACATAACTGTACGAACATGCAGTCCATTCAAAGAGGCTTAGAAACTATTCTGCTGTTATTGCATTTCCTGAAGTTGTTAGCTGTTTAGTGGAAGCACGTATTTTAATCAACCTTGGATTTAGTGTGAAAATGTTGTTTCTCTGACTTCTTAGCCGTCTGATGAAGATACTATCAGCTTTAATGTTCCAATGTCAGACATCGTGGAAGAAGATCACGTTGTAAAGGAAGATTCAGGTCACCATGCTAACTCAAGAAAAGGTTGGAATGTCAAAACTGTGGAGGTTAAAAACAGGAAATTTCTGTTGATAACTGTATAAGACTGTAAATGGAGTCTGAAAATGTCACAGCACAGCGAGTACTGATTAGTTTTTCTAGTCTTCTGTCTAAAAACAGGAACTTTAACTTAGAACCATTGTGGTTACCACTGTTTTTCACTGGAATATTCAGTGTTTGATTTTGCTCTGGATAAATACCTTAAGTTGCTTTTCTTGCTGATATTATAATCAATCAATAAGAATTTTTACAATTAATTTCTTCGTAGTAAATGCCTTCTTATCCAAGAGGCTTTCAAGTATGCCTATGCAGTCATTTAAAACAGAAAAAGGCTTTACTTACACCAGTTTTAAACTATACTGAATTGAGTATAGTCATTTTTGGTGATGGTTTCAATGAACTTCTTGCACCTTGTCTCAAGGGTTAATAAATTCTGTTTCTCATCAGGGGAAAAAAAGTGAGAATCAATCTGGTCTAGAGGGAGGTGTCCCTGCCTATAGTAGGGGGTTGGAACTAGATGATCTTAAAGGTCCCTTTCAACTCAAATCATTCTGTGATTTTAAAACATGTTTCCAAGTCAGTAATCTCAGTGTCTAATAACTTTGTCAAGTACCAGCTCAGATTCTGAATTAGCAGTGTATAACAGTGGAGTGACAGTGTGTGTAGTTATATTTTATTGAAGTTACACCTTCATTAATGTTACTTACGTACTGATGAAAGGTGATTCCTCATGATCTGCACATACTAATGATAAGTTGCAGGATAATATCAGTGAGCTGGACACCATGTAAATAGAAATCAGCATTTCATGAATGCTTCATGCTGGATTAAAAGAATTTCAGTTGAGATTCTCATCAGAATGTAGTAATATGCAACTGATATAGTAAGACTTGCATCCTGCAATGTTTATCACCCCATCAGAGAGCTTAAGGGATCAAACTGTTTCAAGCAGGAGAATTAAAGGCGTATACATTCCTAGAAACAGTGTAGTTAAACAGTAGATTTGCCTTGTTTGCAAGGCTGAATCATTGTGACTGAGTTCTGCTGAGAGTTTTGGATGTTTGTTGCACATCATAACTTCTAAGTTGCATAAAAAACTGCTAGTCAGTGACTGAGACACGACTGTCCTGAAATAATTCTGTAGCTTTCCAACTGTGTTCTCGTACCAGTACTGGCAAGGCATGTTTCATGTAGTTAAAAACTGATGCAATCAGTGCTTGTTGTGCTGTTTTTGATATACAGCTGTATTGAGCCAAGGATATTGATTTATTAAAACTTTGCAATGAATGGACATCTCTCCCTTGAATGCAGCAGTCTGCACTTTTTTGAGGTTTTTAAATATGATTTGAACTTAAACTTGAGTTCATTTGGTTTTCAGCTCATAATTTTAGTGTTCTCGTGAGTAGCAAATTTTCAGCTGAACTGGAAATAATTTTGTCTTCTTTTGTTGTTGTTTTCAGTGGAATTCCATCAGGGATCTTCTCACTTGATTGTCAATGATAAATCAAGAGAGACAGGAATCCGGCTTGATGAATCAGATGCTCTTACTACAGAATTTATGAGCTACATTAAGGCAAGTGTGTGTTCAGTTCTTAGTGGCAGAAAATATTTTCACTGCTTTCCTAAGCGTAGAGCAATCAGGAGTGAGGAACTGCAGACATTTTAATGTATAAAACACCACAGTTAATATTCATTGTCATAAAAGATGCAGAATGTAAAAATAGATTTAAAATTATAATTGATGTAATGCAAAGCTAGAATAAGACCCATAGAAATGAACAGTGAATCAGTAGTGATTACCACTGTGTGGGAACTCAAGAAATATACTTTATTATGTAGCAAGAACTGCCAAATGATTTATTTATTTTTAAAAACATAATTAGGTAAGCTGAGTTTTGAAAGACTGTAATGAAGTTTCAAGTGAGTACTTTTTATCCTGACATTTATTTGCTGGATATTTTTGCTCAAAATGTTGTAATGCAAGAAGATATTTAAGAAAGTAGTGTTTTGTAGCATTCTTGTGGAAGTGAGGTCTCTACTGGATTTATAGACCAGAAAAGATTTTTAATATATATATTTTTGGACCAGTTTTCTTCTTTTGTGGATAGTTTTGAGGAATGTGAAGAGGCTCTGTACTATCTTTGCGTTGTATCCCTTACTGAAAAATGTGTGCTGAAAGGTAATACTTGGAAAGAGAAAACTTATTACCTTTCAGCTTCTTGGAAATAGAAAAAAAAAACAGTCTGTTGGTTCTGAAAAAAAAAAATCTCAATTTGTGCAACTTCTATTTTTTCTAGCAACAAAACTTCACAGATCCTGTTTTACTGTTTCTAGCCTCTGAGGTGACAGCCTCCTCTGTTAGTTATCAGGAAACTTTATTTACTCAGTGCATACACGTTGCTTGTTATTTCTATTACTTACAAGTACAGATCTGAACTCAACAGCATTAAAGGTCACAAATGATTTATTGCCTAAAACTTCACTGGCTGTAAGAATTATTTATGCTGAGTGTTTAGGACATAATGAGTTACCTTCTATTGGCTTGTTCTTTAGTGATTTCTTTACTAAAAGCTTGCTGTAAAAAGGTTAACACATTGTAGACCTGCATAAAGATTTTCAACAAATGTACACATTTGAGGTGAATAAACTAGACAGAAGGGGATTAGAATGTTTTTATCTTCTTTTGCAAAGGTAGAAGTACAGACATCCGAAGTTGACTGATTATATTCTGTATGTGCTTGTTATTTGCTTGTTCTTGTACATTCATCATCTTGATTTTCCTTAGCAAATACTATTCCCTTGGGAATAACCTCTGTCATGTAATAAAATAGTATGATATGAAATAACGTGTGGCGGACAGTTGTTCAGTAAGGGAAGCTACTGTATTGAATGTCAGTATGACAATATTGCCAAAGCAAGCTCTTGGATTTTTTCTGTTATCTTCTTAACATTATGGCAGTTGAGAGCAGTAGTTGATGACTTGAACAGATAAGTGCATCTTTTTTTTTTTTTCCAGAGGATTTTGAACCTCAGGCATTTTCTTTTGGAGATTTGAGTCAATTGTATTCTTTGGTTTATATGTGCTCATGTACTAGCATGCATTTTGAGACTTCTGAAACTGAATTTCTGGTTAACAAAAAAATAGCAAAGCAAATGGTATCCTGGGCTCCATCAGAAGAGGGGTGGCCAGCAGGGGGAGGGAGGCGATTGTCCCTCTACTCTGCTCTTGTGAGGCCCCATCTGGAGTACTGTGTCCAGGACTGGAGCCTCCAGTACAAGAAAGACAGGGAGCGGATGGAGAGTGTCCACAGGAGAGCCACGAAGGTGATCAGGCGACTGGACCACCTCCCCTGTGAAGACAGGCTGAGGGAGCTGGGCTTGTTCAGCCTGGAGAGGAGAAGGCTGCAGGGTGACCTCATTGCAGCCTTTCAGTACCTAAAGGGAGCCTACAGACAGGAGGGGAATCAACTCTTTGAAAGGGTAGATAACAGCAGGACAAAGGGAAATGGTTTTAAGTTGAGGGAGGGAAGATTGAGGTTGGATGTCAGGGGGAAGTTCTTTACAGAGAGAGTGGTGAGGTGCTGGCACAGGCTGCCCAGAGAAGCTGTGGATGCCCCATCCCTGGAGGTGTTCAAGGCCAGGTTGGATGGGGCCCTGGGCAGCCTGGTCTGGTATTAAAGGTGGAGGTTGGTGCCCTGCATGTGGCAGGTGGTTGGAGCTTCATGATCTTTGAGGTCCCTTCCAACCCTGACCATTCTGTGATTCTGTGAATACGTTAAATCAATACCAGAGGCAGTGGAGAAGAGTTCAGACTTGGTAAATCTGTAGTTTTCGTAAGTTATTCCTGATTTGTAAGGCAATATCTATTTATATAAATATGCCAGAGGCTGAGATTTGCCTTCTAGAACAATTGCTAGTTTTTTTTAATGTGTCCTTGTTATGGGAAAAATCATATGATTCATTTCTGTATCAGTAACTTGAAAAAAAAGAGTGAAGAATGGCTTTATTTGTTCTACTAAGGATTGTTACTGGAAAATGTGTCATCCTTGGGGAATGTTAAAGGAGCTGGTATACCCTTCAGTGACACATCTGACAGAACTGGATAGTGTTTATTGGTACAGGGTGATGCGACAGATGTGCCAAGCCCATGACACAAAAAAAGGATAGGCTTGTTTTCTGCTGTTTATTCTCTATTTCTATAACTACTACACTTCTACTCATAGAGCTTCTGTCTTTAGTGACAGCTGAATTATTTCAGTAATTCATCCAAGAAAGAGAAATTTTCAAAGTTTCTTTCTTGTTAAGATTGTAAATGAAACCATAAGTAAGGGACTTCAATTTTCTAACATGTAGCATTTCATAGTTACAGATGGAATGGAGGCTGTGATTTATTCCTACACTGAATCCCAAATAACAGGCCAGCTGATTTGAACTGTAGCATGTCAATTTTGTTTTGATTTTATTTTATTTTTTTAAACAGAGCTGTTAAAATTACCAAGTAGGAATCCTATTAATAGTTATGGATTAAATACATAATTGTTAGTTTGTCTATTTGGAATTTCCTTGCTCTGTAAATGTAGCTTTATGTGGGAGGAGAGTAAATAAGATAAGAGCTAGAGTCGCACTCAATTGAACCATTGTTGGCGTACACGAGAAAGGCACAAATGAAATCTGGGGCATAGAATGAAGAATTCTCATGCTACTTGACTTTCTTTTTACAGTTAAAGGAGGGTAAGGACTGCTGACCTCAATAAAATCTCAACAATGAAAATAAGATCATGTAATGAGTATCTTAAAAGGGGATAGAGTGAGATGTGAAGCAGAAGTGTTGGATTGCTTCAACTAGCCACCCTAAACTGTTAAATAAAATAGGACACTGCTGAGTCTGAAAGGAAAACTTATCTGCTTGCTTAATTGCAAAGTTCAATTCTTAATATCACCTTGTCTGCTTACAGAGCAGAGCAGCAGAGTGTGATGAATTACTGAGAATTGAAGAGGACGCACAATGGCAAACAGAAGAAATGTAAGTATTGCTTTGTCTGTAAGTAATTAACTGTATCATTTCATTAGATGACCAAATCTGGTGTTTTCTTCTCAGTTAAGAATTTTGTAGACTTAAAAGCATACAGCAGTGCAACTTTCTGTGCGTGAATGTGGTGTGTTGTATGTTATTGATTAATCAAGTGGGTCTTAGCTTGCAACTAATGTGTATGTGCTAATAAAGCTGTAATTTGGCATTTTTTAGCCAATGTAGAGCCCGGGTTTTAAAATGAGGTATTTTCATATGTAGTCTGCTTATGCTATTGTTTTTAAAAATTAAATTTAACTTGTAAAATCTAATGCACAGGATTTCTTTTCAAAATTTTTTTCTTGCTTTGTCATAATTTTAACCCTGAAACAATCAATAGTTCATAGGTATTAGCTCAAGTGCAGTGTCAGTGAACCTCAGTCAGTGAAGAGTGTTCATAAGAAAAAACAGCTCTAGCATGACAGTGTACTGTGAAGTTCTCACCTCAGAACAGTGGAGTCCTATGTGATTAGAAATAAAAATTGAAAGGAGGGAAAAATAAGCATGTTCCAAAAGAACACTGTTGGCAGAACTACCAGATGATTTTTTTAATAAATTAAAAAAGAAAAAAAAGAAAAAACAACCAACAGCAACAACAACCAAATCTTGAAAAGCAAAAGAATGCTGTGGTCCATTAAAAAGAATTGTCACATTCTGTAATAATGTATGTGGTGAATGTGGTTAACAGGAGTCAGCTTTTGAAGTTGGTCTGTTTAATGGATATGCAAAGATCCTAGTTTCTTAGTTCATTACATTTTTTTTCGTATGTGTGTATTAGTTTGGGAAGTTTTGTTGAAGGCAAGGTGCTGGTGATTTTTTTCTGAAGACACTCTTTACATAAATTTCAGCACTTATTAGTTTGCACAGAGGCTGTTTTTACCTTCCATCTGTATTAGCTGCATGCTTAGTTAGAAGGTAGAGTTCACAAATTGAAATTGAGACAACCCCTGATAATTGCTGTTTTACCTCTTTTTTTTTTCTTTTTTTGAATGCTTTTGTTTTCTATTATAGAATAAATATGTCAGAAGAACAAACTATTGATATAGCAATGATAGAACAACTAAGAGAAGCAGTAGATTTGTTACAAGATCCCAACAGGTATGCTTAAAATAGCAGGTGTCTTATGTATTTATAACTTCTGTTGAGTTTCCTGTAGAATAGTCTTATCTCTTTTAGTCTGTACAAACTCCTCTTCTTGTTAATACTTGAATTGGAATTGGAGAAGGTTTTCTCTGTGCTTCATCCCATCTTTCTGGGATGCATAAAGAAGATACTTGAAGTAGTGCTGAAGTTCTGGTAGTCTTTCTCTGAGGTCAAAAGGAGAAAAGGAAAGATGCTACTAGTGAAGGTGTTTCTCCTGGCTATAGAAGGCAAGGCTGTCTAATTTATATGCATCTTTTAAGTGTCTGAAGTCAGGTGGAATTACTCTGGGTCTGTGAATAAACAAAGGATTAAATATATAAAAGGAAAACAAACAGAAGCTTGTCATGCTTGAAAGATCTGATGGGTGTTGCAGGTACTTCTGTCCCTGTGCTTGCTATTGCTTTTCGTTGTGTAATCCCTTTCAAAAATTAAGCTCATTTAAAAACTAAGAAGCTAATTTTTCATCATTGATTCTATGATGTAGAGCTTTCTGGAGCTTTAATTCTCTGAACAGTAGACACCTCCTTATCATTCCCAGTCTAAAACGTCCTTGTTTCTCCTTCCTTGGCCAGTTCATATAGCCATTTCTTCTTATGACTACACTGTTCTGTAGCTTAAAAGTCTGTTTTGATATTGCTTTTTCACTTAGCTTATCTTTCTGCTTTTTAGGACTGAAGTTCACTCCTATCACTTTTTCTGGCAAAGGAAATATCTGGCTTTATTTTGAATCATACAGAGAATAGTTGAATTCTTGAACTGAGTACTAAATAGTTAACAAAAAAAACCACAAACATATAAATGAAGAACAGTCCTGTGGTTTCTGTGAGATAAAATTCTGTTGCTTCTGTATCTCATCTGTAACTTATTAGTTAGCAGAAGTGTTGCAGATAAGATTGAAAAATAGTCTGGTTAGAAGGAAAGTGGCAGTAAAAAATCTCTCAGCCTTATAAAACTTGTTGCTTTTTTGTTAGTCAGATAATGCTTTGACATTTCCTACAGTTTTTTTGCTTACGAAATTTCAAAAGGCAGTGAAATACAGACAGTCTCCATTTCTCCATGCATGTTCAGTTGTGTTTTCAATAGCACAATACTATATGAAATACAGCTTTTAAAGATGACTATAAATATGTCATGCATGTATTTATTTTTGCTTTGTTGAGTGCTAAACAGGCCATTCAAATGTCTGTTTGTTTTATGCTAACAAGCAGACTTGTCCAGCATGACACTCCTGGGTGTCTAGCACATATCAAATGAAGCTTGATTTTGCATTCTGTTGTGGATGCCTCATCGTTGCTTGCAGCAACAGGCTGAAGCATGAGGTGATGCCGAAGCATACCTTGCACACACTGATTAGAGCTCCATGTAGAATATATCAATTAGTGTTATTATCATTTACAAACATGACTAAATTGTGGAATAGGACCACAATGACTTGACAATTTAATGTTCTGCACATCTTCTGTGCACGTTAACAGCAATTCAGTTCAGGAATGGAAAAGGATTTCAGGCTCAATCTATTCCAGTATTTTCTTGCTTTACTCTCTTTCCTGTCTTCATAGCTTAATTTCAAATTGTTGGCTACTGGGAGTGTGTTGCTGATCTGCTTTATTTTCATACATTGTAAATTAAATTTGGATATTTAACCAGGGTTTTGGATCTTGTTAAAACACAGAATGCTAGAGGTTGAATATAGATGTCTTCAGTGTTATATATAATGTCATGTGACTGTTAATAGTAAACAGATCCCTTTGTTTTGATACGACTTATTGCTTAGAGTGGTACTTTGCAGATGTTAATGTTGGTTTGACCAAGTTGGTGACACTTCTATGAGAAATAAAATAGAGCAGATTGATACCACGATTAAAAATATTTTATATATCCATTTGTATGAAACTGAATACTGAACGTAATGATTATCAACTCTATACCCCAGTGCCATGTTTTTATTTCAAACCTTACAGATTAAGCATGGATATTTCAGAAAGCAGTGATGTGAATCTGTATCCCATGGAACCAGCAACAGCTTTAGAATTTCAGGAATCTACAGTAAAGTGTGTTTATCTACTTTTTTTTTTCTAAAAAAAAAAAAAAAGCATTTGTTAGAATCTTGAGTTTCTACAAAATAAATTACATATTCACATTTGTTTCTTTATACATAGCAGTCAAATGCAGATGGAGATGTCCTCCCTTGGCCAGGTATGTTAATGAACATATTATAAGGTATTTGAGGGGTAAGACAGGAAATGAGCCAATAATTTCATCCATTTTTAATCTACCGAGTAAGTAAAGGAAAACTATGGTAGACTGGAGGACACAACTAGTTCTTCAAAATTTAAATGTAATTGTTGTTTATGTATGTGTATATAGAGAGAAACTATATATATATATATATATATATATTTATGTATATAATATATGTATGTTTATAGACATACATACACACACACGCACAAATAACTTTATTTTCTGGGTTTATCAGTTACTTTTGCATGTTATTTTTTTCCTTTTTTTCCACTCAGTTTGTAGAAAGATAGTCATCTTTCCATACAGCCATCTTTTTCATGTGTTGTGTTGGCTATGAGAATCAATTGCTACTGTTCGCAGCTCAGCTATGTGTATTCTTGTTCTCTTCCAATATCCCTATTCTAGTGTAAGGAAACAGTATTCATTAAGGATAACTCCAAAATATTTTGTAAATTAATGATTACACTTTTCCTAATGCGCTGTCACCAGTTATGGAAGGAGTATATGAAGTATGATTTGGAATTTATAGTATGTTATGTATTGCTTGTTATTTGAAATGTATCTTGACTGGCGAATTAGTATTCTTTATAGAATACAGTAGTTCAGTTGGAAGGGACCTAGAAATATCATCTAGTCAAACTGCCTTTTCTTTTGAGGCTACCCAAAAGTTAAAGCATATGAACGAAGCATTGTCCAAATGTCTCTTGACCGAGGCCAAGCGTGGGACATCAACTACCTCTCTTGGAAGCCGGTTCCAGTTTTTGATGTTTCTCATAAGTAAATGATTTTTTCTAATATCCAGTCTGAAGCTCCCTAGCACAGCTTTGTGCTGTTCCATGGCTCCTGCCATAGGTTCACAAGAGCAGAGCCTGGCACCACTTCTCCAGTTCCCCTCCTCAGAGAACTGCACAGTGCAATGAGATCACTTCTTGGTCTTCTATTCTCCAGACTGGACAACGTGACCTCAATTCCTTGTAATAGGACAAACCCTCTAGCTCTTTACTAGCTTTGTCACCCTCCTCCAGATGCTCTCAAGAATCTTAGCATCCTTTCCATATTACAGAGCCCACTTGGCTTCCAGGGCACACTGGTGGCTCAAGGTGAGCCTGCTGTTGCCACCAGTCCCAGATCCTTTCTGCAGGGCTGCTTTCCAGCCATATGTCTCCCAGTCTGTACTGGGAGACATTTGTGTCTAACATTGCTCTGTCCCAGGTGCAGAAACTGGCATTTAACTTTGTTGAACTTCATGGCGTTGATGATTGCCCAATGGTCTGATCCATCTAAATCACTGCAAGGCCTCATATCTATCTTGGACAACAGCACCTCCCAGTACAGCATCACTAATCATCTCAATGAGGATGCATTCCAATCCTGCATTCAGATCGTTGGTAAAAACATTGAACAGGAATGGCCCTAGGATTGAGCCCTAGAAAACACCACCAGTGATTGTCTGCTATCCAGTTGTAGCCCTCCACTTACTACAACCCTCTGAGCCATTTCATTGCCTAGCGTAGCATGAACCTCTTTATCTCAAAGTTGGTCAACATGTCCAGAAGGATGCACTGTCAGGAGTGGTATCAAAAGCCTTAGTGAAATACAGGGAGACTACATCTGCTGCCTTCCCTTTGTTCACCTAGCAGGTGATCTTATGGAAGGAGATCAAATTGTCAAGGCAGGACTTCCCCTTCATGAGACCATGTTGAGTATGCCTCATATTAGCTTTGTTCTTTAAATCCTTTCAGTATACTCCAAGTTTATTTAGATTGACATAATGACCATCTTTTAGCACTGGAACTGCAATGATGTAGTGTCTGCTTACTGTACAGTTTGCTTTTCATCACAGTACTTGTCAGAAATACTTCTGATATAAAAATGTTATGTAAAAAAAGATACAATTCTATTCCCAGTGATTCACAGTCTAAAGAGTAATGTATCTTTCAGAAGGAAAATGCTGAAGAGGAACTAGAATTTCATAGGAGGAGGGAATTAATTATGGAGAAAGCCAAGAATGAAATGAAAACATGTGAACAGGGTGAAAAATGGTCATTGAATCAGGTACGTAGGTGTCTAGATACAATAAATATGGAAACATTTGGAATGAGTCACTGTCTTCCATTCACTGGTAGGGAAGTTAAAGCCCTTTCAGATTTTTGGTGGTGGTATTTCTTTTTTTTGTTTATTTATGTTTTTCCCTTACCTGAATATAAATGGGATGTTAATTAAGACCTATCAAAGAAAAGGCTGAAATTGATGTATTTTTTTCTAATAAACATTATTAGCAAAAAATAAGTATTATCAGAGTTGGATCTTCAATGATCTGGTTTCTCTTCCCACCCTTAATCCAAATACCGCAGCTCATGCGGTTAAGGTTTTGTATGCAGCAATGAATTTAACGTGCTTTGTATTACAAAGAAGACTCTGTGTGTTGAGGTGATACTTCTAAAGTATCAAAAATATTGTCAGTTTTGTATTTCAGTGATCCAGAAATGAAGAACTGTGAAAAATTCAAGCTTAAATATCATACTTTCTTACCTCAGGACTTAGCTGTTTGTGAATGTTCTTGCAAGAGAATTCTGAGAACAAAATGACCTGTGAAAGTTCTGCCTGCATTCACAATACTTTAGTACAGTGTATCTCATGCAGATATAAACCTCCTGGTATATCTTGATGCTTTTCAAATATCATTACTAGCAAATACTCCTGTGATCTCTTTGTGACTCAATTTTATCTTTTTTTTTTTTTTTTTTTTTTTTTTTTTAAAGAAGGAAAGTTTGTATCTCCACAGTTTTCTTGTATTGTACATGGGAGTTAACATACTTTATTTGGGATTGATTCTTAACTGCATTGCTAATGTGTTACAAGTTAATTTGATGTCAGAATGCACAACGTGCACATTCTGTATTTTAACAAATCTCTTCAACAAGAATGCTGCTGATTCATTTTAAGAACCTTTTAAATGAGGAAATTTCCTAAAAACAGTAGAAATGTGTCTTGCAAGAGCAAATTTAATCATTCTGCAAGTGCAGTAAGCACTTGTAGTTTTCAGGTTGAATGTAAATTTGGAGCTCTGACTGTTGACTTGTGTGTTGTGAGAGAGTTTTGACCTGCAGTGTAGATTTAACTAGCTTGTCTGTCACAAGGACAACCGCTGAGCATAGGAGTGCTTAAACATGCTAATCTCCAGGTAGAAATTGGCAGGGATGAGATTACTAAAATTTCCTTCTATTAATTCTAGGTAATACAGTTGATGAGGTAAGATTATGAAAGAAGTTGGTAGCTGAGGATCATATTTTATTTTTCAAGCTAAAGTAGTGGCCAGGAAAGGTCATTTATCAAAATGCGTGTGTAATCTTCCTTCCCATCTTAGTAACTTCCAGAAAATTCTTAGGGTGCTGGGACCAATATTTTGAGGGCTGTATTTTTAATCTCTACTTTTTCTCCATTAAAAAATTTGCCCTAATGAAAGGGTTTTAAATGAATTTATAATCCATTTTACCTATGTCAATCCTATTTCTACTGAGTTATGACTTATACAGAATTAACAATCGTTTGATATTTTATTGACATGATTTCCGTGTTTCCAGGTTAGCTATAGCAAAAATGGTAACAAAAGGTGTGTTATATGGCAATTACAAAAGGAATTGCTTGCAGAATGCTTCTCTCTTCAAAGCTATATTTAAAATTTTTACTCCCCTATTAAACTCCTGGTAACAGTTAAAATTTGTGAAACAAGGTTAGATAATGCACTTGAATGAACAAAGATTCAAGTCTTACAAACACACTTATGAATCAGTTGAGAGCCTGCAGATAAGAAATTAAAGACAAATTTGTGCAAATAATTTCCACGGGAGAATTTTTAAGTGGTATTTCAGTTAGTCTAGCATCAAAATTTATATAAGTCGTGAAAGTTGTTGTGGTAAAGAAAACAAAACCAATACAATGCTGAAAAATGTAAAGATGAAAAGTATTGAATATTAATGAGTCTCTGACTGTTGTGATTAGGATACTGTATGACTGTGTATGACCAATGCATTTGCTGAAAAGATCTTTCTTTTTTCTTTCTGTCAATTGTGCAGCATGATGTAATTGTTTGGAATACAAGTGGCCAACCCTCTCACAATGAGGTAAGATGATGGTGCATTTTGTCTTCAGCATGTGGATGGTCAGTGGGCTCTTTATGGAATCTTCCTATTTTCCGTGCAAAACCAGTGTTTCTTCCTCTGCTTTACACTGTATATGAGCACCTCACAGACTCGTGAGCACCCTGTGTTGGTGATGGTACTCCCATAGATTCCATTGTCATGAATCGTTTTTTAAATAGGATTTGTTTTCTGGAAGTTGGTTATAAGATTTCTCCTTTCTTATCATGGTATAACCATCATGGTTCTACTGTGAGGTCTATGATTAACTTCCACCTTTCTGCATTTTAGGCAGAATTCAGGAGAAATAGTTAAGCAGAATGGTAATTCTGATTCAGTGTAAGAAACACATCTAAGGAAAAAAAAATTGTTTTGTTCTTCTAAACGTACTCTGCCACAAAAGTGTATGTTGAACGGAACCAAATGGTTCTGTGGGAGAAAACTGAGAAATAATCACACTTATTTATAACTAGGGCCAATATGCTGCAGACTTCAGTCAGAAAGTTCTTTTCCAGTAAAGGAGTGGTATTGAATAAAACCGAGAGATTGTTACAGGTTCAAAGCTATGTGATGAGATTGTGGTGAAATAGTTGTAGCATGCAGTATTGCTAATTTTTGTATTTTATTCAGTCAGTTTCCCTGTGATATTCTGGACGCTGCTCTTATTTGAATTTATGTTCTTAAATTATACAGAACAAAGATAAAAGTCCAACGCTGTCTCCTACTACAAACAACACAATCCCTTTTGGCCTGAAGCCACGATCAGGTATTGTAGGAAAGAAAATCAATCAATTTTTGTACTTTTTCACATCCGTGCTATTAATAGATATTTGTATTTTCATTTTCTCTTACAATTCAGTGATGAAAACACTTTCTGTATTCCAAAGGCTAGAACATTGTCTAAATGCTTGACTTGAGATCAAATTTGTATTAACTCTGTTTAGTGTATTTTATGTGCATTAGTTTTTACCCCTTACTGATAAATCAGGTGTTTTATTAATTATACACACACACACATTTAAAAATAAGCACATGCTAATACACATGTATAATATACATATAAGTAATATACATGTGTAAGTATACAGGATGATAGAATGTGTTGGTAAATAATATGTGAATAATCAGATTTGTTTAGAAAATGCTTATGCATGAGTCTCAGTAGTTATAATTGTGCAAGGAGAAGTGGTTTGGGGAAGATATGTTTTCTTCAGCCTGCAACTGAGTTTAACGAATTTGCAATGTGCCAAATCTGTATTACCATCATTAACATGCAGCACTTTATTGGAGGGGAGGGAAAAAAGTGGGAGGAAGTCAACAAAATAAACTGTAATGTATTTGAGGGCTTACCTTGAAAGCAGGATAAGTTACAGGTAAACTCTGTTCTTATCTTCTCTGGACTGGTGGTCAGCATTGATTGTCAGTGCTGTTAAGTCACATCACTTCTAAAGAATAACCTTAATATTTTAGATATGCTTCAGCATTCGACGACTGTAATTCTGTTTTCTCACATTTACCACAAATGCTTTTAGTCAATTGCTGGTAAACCACTATAAGCTCGTAGCTTCCATAACAAAATATCTTGGCAATAATGGCAGCAGTTTCATATTTGAATGTATTTTAGGAAATTGTACCCATAGATTTGTTTTTAAGAAGGTTTGCAGAGCAAAGAAAGTGTTATTGAACAAACCTTGTCTCATAAAGAAAGCGTTTTAAATTTCCTGCAATGTTATGATATATAGAAGTTGGGCAGATCTGTTCATTTCAATTTCATAGTTTGTTGCTAAACTCTGACTCTATTATTTTGTTCCTGATGCTTCAGAAGAAGAATTATTTCTTAAGGTACAAAGTAATGGATCAAATGATGAGCAAATGGGACCTTTCAGGATTTGCAAAAACATAATTTGAGTAATGTTGTTCAGTCCAGTGGCAACTGCTAGGAGAGAGACATGCAAAGACAATGTCAGAATACAGACTTTCATAGGAGGTAGGCTGTGCTCTGCTGAACTGCCAGTGAAATCTGCTGCCAGGAACTGGAAGCAATATTATAGGAGAACTGAATGAATGCAAGACTGTGATTTTGGATTCAAGTTAGTTTAACACACGTTTCCTAGTCTTGGCATACCAGTTGTCTCAAGACATTCTATATCCAATGACAGTAATACATAAAGAGAAAAAGACACTTTCCAAAAGCATAGCTAATTAGCATAGCTAATCTTTCTTAGAGAGTTTCCAGAAGGATTGGATTGCAGGGATTGCAGTGTTCTGCAACGTTCCTACAAGACTAGTGATGAGAGACCCAGACCTGCACAACTCCTCCAGTTCCCCCATGTATACTGAAATAGTGTAACCTCATTGAATACTAATGTCAGTTGATTATAATCTGCTGTTTTGCTGCTTTGTACCAATACAAATGTATATATTTGAATCACTGACTATGCCAATACTACAATGTTGTTTGGTCACAGCTGTGGGATATAGAAAACCCATTTATCTGAATTTGTTTTCCTTTCCATTATCGTACACTACAGAACCACCAACTGAGAGCCATTTCTGCAGTCTTTTACCTCATTGCTTGCAGTTTCAGTGGTGTTGCCTTAGTTTTATACTGCAGTAAGGCAGTTGAATTTGATAATAGCAAAACCTGAAGTCCAGCATCAGGTAAAACAGCAGTATATTAGCTATGTAACACAGTGTGACAAAATAAAACCTTACAATGGAGCAGGGATGCTGCATATTGTTTCCTTCCATCTTCCTGCTCTGTAACCGCAGTAGAAATAGTATTTAAATTTGTTTTGCCAGCACCTAAGAAAAAAATACAGATAGAAGTAGTTTGTAGCTCAAGATACTGGCACATTTGTGAATCCTGCACATCTTTCCTTCCAGTTTGCTACAACTAGTTCCTTCACTGTCCTTCTGTTACAGCTTTTTGTACAAGTCTTGAGTGAGTTTGAACCATTCTCTCACTGTCTTAATTCGCGCTTCTGAACTACATACTGCTTCAGTGCCCCAAAGCTGAGCTGAGGTCCAGCAGTTCTGTGATCCAGAAAAGTTTTTCAGCTTAGTGTATAGTTTAACTTTATAACTTTTTCATTCAAGTTCTTCATTACCTTAGGGAAAAATTTAGTAGAGCTCATTGGAAACAGTTTTTCCATGAAAATGTATGCAAACATACCTTTCTGAAATTGGAGAGCTTATTTTCAGTTTGCTTTCATCTATTTTTAATGAATGTTGCTTTCTATTTGATTTTGTTCCCCTCATTGTTTCTTAGTGACTTGACTTATGTCTCTTCCAAATCTGAAAGTAAAATATTCTAGATTTCTGGTTATGCTTAAAAAAAAAAAATTAAAATAAAAATAGAATCACACACACAAAGTAAAGTGCTTCCAGAAGATAAACCACTGTGGCTTAAGCTTCTATGTTAGTATGTGCTACACTAGTACATTCTGGCATGTTTACAGGACTGAAGATCTCTCATTTCAAAGCTAGCCAAAATATTGGGAAAATTCATATCTGATGGTTGACTTGGTATCCAAAGAAAATGTTTTGAAAGATAATAGTATTTGACTTCTTGATGGAGTCTTTTTAAGGATCGGTTGTTTACTCAGAAAGTAATAAGATCTTAAAAAAAAAAAAAAAAATCAGATAATTTTATCCTTATAAATATTTTATAGTGAATGGGCTTCTCAAATTCATATTCAGTTGAAAACCTTAAAAATCATTCTTGAAAGGAATAAATAATTATAAGTTCAATAAGAAGTTTTGTTCTTGGGATGTGCTTTTGCTCTGAAATGGAGCCACTCAAAGTAGCTACTAAACTTAAATCTTCTGCACTTGATTCATGAATTAATTAAAATATCAAGTGATACCAATTGTAGAAATGGAGTTTTGCAAAGTCCTTGCTGTAATCATTAAAATGAGATATAAACATCTTGCTCCTAATACATTATCTGTGTACTTTGGAAAATCATCTGAATCCTAGTTGCCAGTATAATTAAAGGCTGCTTATTATTTTCCTGAGATCAGTGTTTTGTTACCTCATGTTGAATTCTGCTTGGAGTTTGAGCGGTGCTGTGGTTATTCAGGTTTGGCTGACCTATTGTCTCTGTAGTCAGAAGCAATAAAGAGGCTTTTAAAAAGTGCATATCTGAAAAGGGAGAACTCTTGAACAGGTAAATGTGGAGGAAAGTCTAAGGTGAAATTTTATACAACATTGTCTCAATTATCATCTTGTTAATGCGGATTCCGGAGTTTTGAGAGAAGGAGAAAGTACGCAATTAAGTTCCCTGTTGCTAATTTGGAATTACATAAATTGAGAACTGGGCTTTACCTTGGACTATCTTCTGTTATGAGTTTTTGCAGTTTTTTGATCTATGTAGTGGTTTTCAGTTGATTCAGGCTTAGAGTTTAGCATTCAGAGCAGAGGTAGCATGTAATCTCCAGTTTAGTTTGAGGAGAATGGATGTGACTTGTGCGTGCAGTAAAGTAAATGAGACATGGAAGTATATACACAGAAAAGCAAGAAGTGAGGAAAGATCTCATTTTGATGGTAGAAATGGTAGAGAACTGGGATCAGATACAGGAAGAACTCTTTAAGGAGTGACATCTTCGTGAAGGGTAAGGAAGGTGAGATGCAAATTACGCGATGAAAGGTTGCAAGCCGGTAGAAAGCTTTGAAAGGATGAATGGTGTGGAAAAGATAAACAGGGATGAGATATTTTAAGGATGTCATTGTTCATTTCTGAAACACCATGGAGTGGAGATTTGAGGAAAGCTTTTCCACAATCAGATCAGAAGACAAGCATGAAGTAAGATATGGGAGGGAAAGAATGAGAAGGTCCACTGGAGGATTTGAGGGGAGAAAAGGAGGTGTTGTCATGACTAGTAGGAAGACAGAAGGCAGAAAGGATGGAGAGGCTGTGTTGTTGCAGCCTCTCTGGACAGATGAAGTCTGGTGTGCTGTAGCGAGCCCAGTTGAATTATCAGTGATTTTGTGCTTGTTATAATGCTGTATACAGAGCAGGTCTGCCAGGGTTTGTGGTACAGACTCTGGATCCTCCTTTGGAGGTGTTGCACATCTCTACTACTGGAAAGTCTGCCAGAACTTTCCTAGAGCCTGTTGTAAACTTGGTCTTAACGTTGTGGGAATTAGCAAGAAATATAAGTAGTGCTGCATAAACTATGAAGTGATTAAAGCAAAAGGAAAACATCTCTACTGCACGTTCTTACAAGAATATTTCAACAGGACGAGAATTCAGGGGAGTAAATGAGAATTCCTGTATTTGCTACCTCTTGAAATTAGCTGGGAAGTTAGTGTAACAATTTATTTATATGTACATATACATTTAACAGTTGCAAAAATAACTGAGTTCTTCTTTTCCAAACTACTTAATTTAGAACGCTGAAACTTCACAGAGATGCATTTACCATTTGATTCACAGGCTCAAGGCTTTTGTCAGACTGTAACATAAAATCTATGGGTACTTTTTCTTAAAACGTGATTGTAAACAATTTCTGTGAAATGCTATGGTTACAATGATCTTGTTAAGCTTAACAGCTTTAACTGCACATATAATGTCTGATTTGCAAGTACTAACATATAACCTTTCGTTCTTTTTATTCTGCACCACCTTTCTTTCATTCTTTTCTTCAAAAATTACGCATTTTGTATTAATCACCTTTGAATTGCATCTTCATTGCCATGCAACCCTAACGCCATATATGCAATGCTGCTGCCTGCCCTCCTTCCCCACCCCGGTCCTTACACCACCATGGACTGGCTGTCACTCCCCTTCAGCAGACCCATCCCTCAGTCTTCCTCCTGTCTCCTTCAACACACTTACACAGGCACAAACATGGGACAGCTTTAGCTACAGTATACCATCTGAAGGAGACAGTGACAATGGTAGGTGTTCCATACATCATTTACTTGATTTTATGCTTTCAGAAAACTCAGTATGCAGCAAATGTCCCATGTGGCTAAGGATGAAAGCTAGTACTGTTAAGCAAATGTTTATAACACCAAATGCCTCAGGGGATGCATTAACTTTCTGTAAAATATGTGGTATCAAAAGGAAATGAGTGGAGAGTGTCACTGTGTTCAAGTCTGGCAAACCAACTTTTCCTGTGATACCTATTCCCAGAGCTATTTCCAGTACAGGTTGGAATATACTTCTATTTTCAAGTTTATAAAAGTTGCATTCAAGCAGCAATTAGTTTTGCTGCTGTCTTTTCTGGGTTTATGACTTTGTAAGTAAAAGCTGACTTAAAAATATCTAGTTCCCATCTGCAGTTGTTGATGCAGGTGTGTAACTAACTTAATTAGAGAAGGAATCCAAGAAGAAACAAAGAGTCAGACAAGCAAGAGACCACTGACATCCATCCAACAGAAACCTAGTCAGGGTGGAATCTCCAGCTGTTTGTTACCAAAGATAAACAAGGTTATTGCTATAGTAAATGATTTCTTACAATAAGCATTTTTTCCCCAGTTGATTCTTCTTTGTAATATTGTCTCTTCAGGCATGCTACACCTTCTAAGCTGTATTATTCCCTCCTTATGAACTGCTTTTAATTCAGAAATAACTTTCTTGAGTTACTTTTCTGTTTAATAAGTAAATCTTAGATTTCTTTTTTTTTCCAGAATGCTTTGTTTTTCAGGAAATAAACAATATTTGCCCTTGCTAACCCAATACTCAACTACTCAAATTCTTTGTTTTGTAATTACTACTGCTAACTTCAGTTTCGGTGTCACATGCAGAAGTCTTTGTGATTGGAAGTGATTGGAAATAAAATTCTATAACATTAAGCTGCTAAACTTCATTATGTTGTTCACACACTTAGTTTTTGCAAGAAAAATCTTATATCAATAATATACTTTCATCAGTTAGGAAGCTTTGACAATACTACAAATGATACAGTTTTAAAAACTGGTTAAGAGATAAGGAATTGTATTAGTGGAGCTTTTGTTATAAGCAAATTAAGGGCACACAGATGGAAAATTGTGCTGGAAAGCCGTTTTTGAAGTAAACTTTAATTAACAAGATAACAATCTCCATCAGATTATTTTTTCTTAGTGTTGCTTAGGTTTATTATAGAAAATAAATGTGTTACACCTCTTCAAGATTATATATATCTCTATGTATGCTAAAGAATTTTCTGTCATGGCAGGCTGGCAGTGGCTAAGGACTCGGTAACATGAAGAGTTTCCTCTGCATGACTTGCAGGTTGTGTAGTCATTTTACATTTGCAGAGTATGGTGGTATAATATATCCCAGTGAAATCTGAGCTTTTACGCTCACTTCTTACTTCTGTATGTTGACATAAAGTACTATAAATTCCAGTTGTCATTTACCAGTTTCTACCAGTTATGATTCAGTCTTAATCTTGTTGATATTTTTAAGAGTTCAGTAAATAATATAATCTATATTAATCTAGATTTGTTTTTGTTTTATTCTTTAGAATGATGTGAGCAGTATAGACTACTTTGTGCATATATGTTTAGGGGAGGTACATTTCTTGTATTATCCAAATCTGAAGACAAATGCAAATATTAGTTTTTATTACCTTTGGCAGTTACAACAGAAAACTGTTTTTGCAGTCTTTCGTGTTATTTTAAAATCAGGACTGTTGCCTTTCTATTTAGAGTTTTTCAAAGGCTGTTTATTGTCTTGGGTATATCTTACTCTGCTAGGAAGTAAAATGAACCAGAAATCGTTCTGCAGCACTGAGGATAATTGGCACAGCATGATTCAAATCCATACCAAAACAAACACTTTCGCTTTCCAAAACAGGATGGCTTCATTCAATTTACCTTTTGCTACCTTTGCCTGTGCAAAGGATATTCCCAACTCTACCAAGACATGTGACGTAGGAGAGAGCTGGGATTGCACAGACCAAAGCTGTGCCAAGAAGCAGTAACTTAATGGCATTGGATGTTCATAGGCCAGTCCTCAGACCCGTTCACCATTGCTGTGCAGCTTGCTAGTACAGATCATAGAGTCATAGAATGGCTTGGGTTGAAAGGGTCCTCAAGGATCATCTAGCTCCAAACCCCCAGCTGCAGGCAGGGCTGCCAACTTCCATATCTAATACTAGATGTATATAGAGTAACATGTATAGTGTAATACTAGATGTAGCATTTGATATAGAAATGCCATCACAGTAGCATCTTAATACTTTACTCAGTGTAATTTCTTCTGTGGTGTAGTTTCTAGCTACTGATCTGTAATGGAGGAGGAGGAGGAGTTCAGAATTTCTGGCAGATTATGCATGCAACAGACAGGTCTCATAAAACCAATATCCATAACACTGGGGTGTTTTTAATATAGCAAATATATATAATAATATATATTTATATATATTAATAAATAATAATAAATATATATAAATAGTGTAATAACTTCACTGTTAGTTAAACAAATTTGGACTGAATAAAACAAGCAAAGATGTATCTGATTGTAAACTTTCAGCTTTACTTCAGCTTTTCCTGTCACTAGTCAGTCTAACCCCTTCTTGTCAGATATATTAGTAGAGGCAGGTTAAATTGTTAAGGTGCTTTTCTGATGGATAATGTTGTCTGCTAAGTATTTAGGATACTCAATCCTTGATGAGCTTTAAGGACATTAAATATACTTACATGCATTGCAAAGTACAAAAATGAAAATTTTCACAAGGAAATTTCTCCTTTACTGTAATACACAAAATACATACTTTGCATTTATTAACCTTGAGCTTGCTGAAACTACATAACATATAACTTCGTAACTACTTAACTATGGATTCAGAAAGCAAAAATTCTGTTTTGCTATCTAAAAGAGAAAGAAATAGATCCTCAGGCATGTTGTGATGTATGGGCTCCCCTTGCTGGAAAACACGTGTAATGCAGAGAAGCAAGCAATACTTAAGACTGCCGAAACCTCCTATATTAGAATAATTTTTCTTTAAATTCAGTAAGTAGCTGAAACTTTTATAACTAATACTTTCAATTTTTTTTTTAATATAAATTAGTTAATCTTATTTCCTTTTATTCATAAACTTCTTCTAATTGCAGTTTCTCATAGCCAGGAGATTAGCCTTCAGTTTTCCTCTTAGTGCATTCATGAAGAGTATTGAATAACTAAGTTTGATATTTGCATTTCATTAGCAGATGTTTGTAGTCTGAAATCTGAACTATGTTTGGGACATTCATACTGACTTAGCAAAGGCCTGAACAAAGGACAGCTAGAGCCAAACTAAATGAAGACCATATTAAAATGCCATTTGACTTTCAAAATTGGACATAAATATTAAATGATGCTTTAATAGAGAATCTGACATGCTGCTGCTGCTACTAAAACTACAGTGGTATTCAAATACCTTTAAAATATGGTATTACTCTTTGAGCATTTGTTTAAGTATATAATATGTGGGAGAAAGAATTTTTAGACTTGTGTAGTGGACTATTTCTAACATGAAAGTCTTTACTTAAAATTGCTGCTTTTTTTAATAAATGTGGCAAGAGTTTCTGCACATTGAGAACCCGGGAGTTACTTTAGGACTGATAAAAAAATCATATTCTTCATTAAATAACATTTAAGTTATTTCTAAAGGTTGAATTTTCACCATGCATGCTTTCATGTATCTGCTAACTGCTAGTGTTTAAAGTTATCTAAATTAATAGGTAATGCTTTTGAAATGTCTTAGTTAAGTCTATAGATTGTTATGCTTCATGACAACAGTTGCTACAGCAGTTATTTTTAACAGCCTGTTTTTGGATACGTATATATACAGAAGTCATAGCTGTACATATACCTCTACAAAATGTTAGGAAGCATGTATCTGGCACAGAGTGCTTTGTAAACAGAAGTCTATTCCAAGGTGGCAGTTTGCCCTTATGGAAAGGCGTGGATTAAATGCCACTACAGTTGTGAAAATGCTGCATCTCAAGGCATGGTTATGTTATTCACATTATTTCTGAGAGGTCAGCACAAGAAATGATTTTAGTTGACACGTTCATGTGCCAGTGCACAGATGCTATTTGGTGGTGAGGTTGGTGAAGCTATGTAGCACGCTGTAGGCATTATCTGTCCTTCTGTCCTGCATCTTCTCCCAGGAAACTCCTTCACTACGCTTGTGGGATTAAGGATAAAGATTAGTAACTCTGTAATGTGCTCAGATTAAAAGCAGTTTTATTTAGCAAATGGCCTGCAATATGGCATTTCCTATAGTCACTGATTTAACAGTAGAATAACAGATTTCAGTTGCCCTTTAAAAAGATAAAGTTAAATAAAGACTCTGCAAGTCCAGTAATGGAAGAAATCAAGTATGGTAACTTACTGTGTCTTGGTGCCTTTAGTAAATATGGCTATGTCAGCAGCTCATCTTTAATAAGCAAGCAACAATTGCTTCCTGTTTGCTGAGCTACCTTAGATGGTGTCTGTTTCCCTTTGGCTAGAGAAGTAGCTTAGATTATTTTTACTTATTTCACTTGCCTAAAATTAGATGAGATGTCAGGTCAGCGAATTTATCTGGGATTTCAAAATATTTCTTGCACACAAACTTTGTTTTGTGTATCAGGAGTCCTAGGTGCTAGAGAATGCAATTTCATGTGTTGTCTCTTTACTGAGTTTGGGACTTCATTAACATTTTTCTTTGTCACAATGTAGGTGAAATTTCCCTCTATCAAGATCTCAATTTCTTATTTCATTACATATTTTAGGGACTGATTTTGAAAACTATCAATTGAACTGCAACCAAAATAAAAATTGAGATGCCATAGTTTTCAGTGGAATTACTGTGGTTACACTTATGAGCACCTACCCTACAGTTTGACTAATTCATCTTTTTTCTTACTGTAGGGGTAAAATTTGCTGATTTGCCCTTTAGGGAAATAAAAGACTGTTCTATTGTGTTACTGATTGACTCAGTGATTATCCTCTCTTTTCTTCTGCAAATTCAGCAAGCTGCAGTCATCCCAGATGCGGCTTCCTTCCTTTCCATCCTCTTGTTGACTACATAATAGAGGAGGAAGAGACTAATCAGGGGAAGGCTGTGTTCTCCTTAGCTTCTGGCAATCAGTTTTGCTAAGTGCAATCTTAACAGCCATATAGCTAAAGCAAAGGAGCTTATTATTTTGAGCTTGGGATAATATTCCATTAAAATAATATTGTGGAAAAACTGCTTGTAATGTGTTTAGTCCTCAGTGAGTTAACTTCCTTAGAGAATAGAGAAGCTTGTTACTGAAATTGATGCAAGAGTCTGTGCTGATACCCACTGTTTGCAGGAAATTTAGCCAGCTCACAAAAACCAAGGCCACTTCAAAGTCTGTGAGAAATTTCTCTAACCTGGCTGTTATATTTAGTGGGTATATCTTCTCTAATAAGGGCTCAGTGGGATAGAAATCTGAATCTTTAGCTGTCTTAAATTGATAAAATTAAGATTGAATGGTGGCTGTGTGTAAAACAGGTGAAAAAAGGTTTATGGGCTTTGCACTGGTACCCAGGCTATGATGTTGCATTCAGGAGAGAGGCAGGAAATTACTAATACAGAATCCTTCTCAAGCACTGTCATTTGCTGTAATAATCAGGCTGGCACATAAATTGTCTGAGCAGTGACAGTTGCGTTTTGTGAAACTGTAATTGAGCATACATCTTGTTCTTCAGACCCATTCAAAAAGTCCTTCATCAAAAGACAACGTATGCAAGCGTGTACATCCAGAACTTCCATGTAATTATTCCAGGGAACTATAGGTTAAATTGTGAAAGTCATACAGTCCACAGACATAGGGTTGATGGAAGGGACACTGAGGAATGTTTATGCAATGTTATGTTCACAATATGACTTCTTAATGTAGGCAGACTTACTGAACGACTGTTAAGTTTCTAGAAATCTAGCACATTATTTTGTTTGGCAGATTGTTTAAATATAACCTTATCCAGTAAGCAGTTGTGTCCAGTCTAGGAGGATGCTTGTCACAATTTGTTACACAGCTTACCATGCTGTAGGAGAGTTCTGCTTAAATGAAATGCTCCCTGTCAAATTAGATCAGAATGTCTGAGGTACAATGCTAGTGCTTAACTGTCTGACAGAAGCTGCCTGTCAGTATTAGGATTTGGTTAAAAAATTAACAACTCCATTGATAATATTTGGTGCTCTTCGGAACTGTTCACCTCATGGCAGAGAAAATTTTTATCAGAGATGGTTCTGAAGGCTTTTACTTCATTTAGAAACAACTCAAAGTGTTGGGTTTTAAACTAAAATCTGTCATTTTAAAAATCACAGTGTTCTTAAGACCACAAAGAAATTTGGAATCAATAGACCCACAGTTTACAATTCGGAGGAAAATGGAGCAGATGAGAGAAGAGAGAGAGCTTGTTGAACAGCTGCGTGAGGTACGTGAGTGTTGGTAGAACTGTGCTGATCTCATGTTTTTGTTTTCTTTGGGAAAGATGCATAATTAGGAAAACATTAAAAAACAGAACAAAAACAAAAACCCCAACAGATGAGACAATATTACTTTTGTAAATAATGTGGGTGAGGCCATTCTTGAAGTGCTTGATTCCGGTTTGATATTTGTACTTAAGAAAAGGTTTTTGTAAATGGGAAATTATTGTGTGTGTTGCCTGAGTGACATACAGTTAAAGAGCTTTCCATGTGCTGGTAGAATTAACAGCTTATGTAACTTCCTCAGAAAAGATGAAGCGATCACTTGAGAGAGAATGATATCTATAAAGCATTTCTTAACAACTGGAGAAGTCTTCAATCTGGCAAGTAAAAGGCGTAATGAAAATTGGGCAAATACAGGCATTTTTTTGAATCAGATAACGAATGCTTGAAATAGGGTTGGTTTTTGTCACTTGAAGGGTGCACACTCAACAGTTTTGATGTGCAAAGTGAAAAAAGGCTGCTGCTGTGGTACAGCTGATTTTGGACAAGTGCAATTTCAATGATGACAAAAAACAGGATAGAATTGGTGTGCTAACAGAGTCTCAAATTAATTAATTCTAATAAAAAAAAACATAAATTCCATTCAACAGAAACATGTATTTTTCAGTGATGGCAAAGAAGACCTTTTCACTATTAGAAAACTTTCAGGCACGGCTTCTTTCAACTAGAAACTGGCAATAGAATTGTTGTAGATGGGCTGTACTCATCATAAAAATGCACCCTAAACTTCATGGAGCAGTCTCCCAACAAGCAAATTAGTGTTTTAAGAGAAGAAATTTTTAATTTATTAATGTGTATAAAACTGTTTGTAGCAGCTTTGCCTGTTCTCTCATAAATGCCAGACAGGGGAACGTGTCATGTTGAATCATAGCTTTTGGTTTGACTTTGGATTTAGAAACCATCTTTGGTACATGGGAAATATGCAGAAAGTTGCACATAAAAAAATTTAAAAAGTTTTTCTAAATCTGCTGCAAATTACTTTACTTTGCAATATCAGATTGTTTTTAATGGGACTTGGACTTGAAAAGGAATTCTTGGATATGTGTTATATCTGAATGTTTTGTCTTGTATTATGTATTGTTTCATCTCTCTAACTCTTTGTAAGTAGTTTTCAGACTACTGGGGAATAACTATCTTGTGCTCTCTGCTCACAATGTAATTCTAATTCAAAGTACTGCTGATAAAATTTGTGATGGTTAGGTGGAAGTCCTGGTGGAAGAAAGCACCTACATATAGTGCGATCACACTACTAATTATTTGGGTACATGTATGTTCTTATATGCATGTATATAAAAATAAATGCAAATTATGATAGCAGCATTGGAAATGTAGACTGCTTTAAAGCAGTTTACATACTTCAGCAACCAACATAGGCTAGAGGGGCTTTGTAGTTGTTTAATAATTAATTACATAACAAATGGGATTACCAGTAAACTGAAACGGCGTACTTACCTAGCAGCATGGGAGATTAGGAGAAGATATGTGCTTTTTCTTTCTTTATTTGTTTCTCTGTTGAAGTTTGTACATGTTCTTTATTTGCAGAACATTGAAACAAGGCTAAAGATATGTTTGCCTGAGGACTTGGGGTCTGCTCTCATGGATGGTGTAGTTCTGTGCCATTTAGTAAATCACATTCGACCTCGGTCAGTAGGAAGTATTCATGTACCTTCACCAGCAGTAGTAAGTTGAATGTTTCTTGTGTTTTACTTTGCTTCTGTAGGGGAGAGTTGTTTTGAAAACAAACTAAGAACAACAACAACAAAAAAACACAATCCCTCACAAAGCTTACTCGTTTAATGTGAAATGATATTTGGTTACATAAATTGTAACACAAAATGAGAGTTTCTAAGAAGACAGATGTTAAAAAAAAACATTTTCTGAGATGGTCTCATCAAGTTTCTTTTACTGTCACTTGGTTTAAATTACTTCTGCTGAGTCTTTGGTGAAGGTATGATACTGCAAAAATACACAAAACTGAGTTCCTGGTGTAAAATCTTGAAGTTCTGTTGCTGACTTGAGTTATTATCTGTAATAGTAAATATTTTAAAGCCATTTTCATTCTTTTTCAGCTTTATATTGATGATATTCTCTTGCTAGAAACAGCTTTCAAATGACCTGAGCCTTGGAAATTAGTCCTTTAAAATCCCTGATGTTATTGTGAATTCTAGGTTTAAATGGGTATTTAGTAGTTACTCTTGTTTCATGTCTTCTATTGAACAAGTAAAATAATGATTTGGGTGGTGTTTTCCTTTTTTTTTTTTTTTTACTAACATGATGTTTCTGTAAGTATTGGGAAGATAGTCCCTAGAGAGAGAAATTTTAAATGGTAACAGGAAGTTTCTTCTTCAGACATGAAAACTGTGTATAGCTACTTTATATTTGTGAGTACGTAAAACACAAAAGAATGTAAAAGCTATATTACATTGAAATCTGTTCCCCTTAATGTACACTGAAATGTGTCATGAGTTTAATTGCTATCCAGAAGAATAAATGTGTTCTATCACAGAGCATGAGGTTTTAGAACCTCACAAGCTGGAGATAAGTAAATAGAGACTTAAATGCGTTGATGACTTTATTAAATAAAAGCACATAGTATCCACAGCTTTCATACTGTGATTGTATTTGTATTTTTTTATAAAGTTGGAGGGGGAGGAAAAAAAAAAAAAGGCTGAATAGAATTATATACTTTGTTATGAGGAGAAATATAATGGAAATGGTGCATCAATACAGTAACAAAAAAGATAAATTTATTGACTGAATGAATGTATTGACTTCTTTTGTCATAATGTATTTTTTTTTTCCTGTTTCTGCAGCCTAAACTTAGCATGGCCAAATGCAGGAGAAATGTTGAAAATTTCCTGGATGCATGTAGAAAGCTGGGGATACCAGAGGTAATTTAACTGTCTACCATTTTCAGATGATAGAAAATGTAAAGCGTGAATTTCTTAAAGTTGAGGGATAGCTTTATGAAATAGCAATTTTCAACAATAAAGACATCTTGCTTGATTTCAATTTTTAAACTGTATGATTTAATGCTGCTTTAGTGCATTTAACTGATGCTACAGCATTTAAGAATGCAAATTTTGTCTTGAATTTGTAATTTAGTATTATCCCCAGCACAGCCTTATGTTTGCACTAAGGAATATGGTAAATGAGTAATAAGATGGCTGTAATTAAGCACAAGTTTACTGATTTTTCTGTATACAGCTGTAGCTACATTTTTACCTACTGCTTTTAGAAGATGGGCTTCATTTTTTTTAATTGATGACTTTTCCTTTTTTACCATGTGACATACTCAATAGTATGTATTGTGAAAGTGACTAATAATACACTCGTGTACTGAAATACTTCTGCAGTGATGGGAAGAAAACCATTCTGTGTGTTAAGGATGGGATGGACCTGTGAGTAAGGTTGTCCTATTTGTATATAAGTTGTGGAAATAAGGAAATTGCAGAGCATGGTGTTTTCTGCTTTTCCATTCAAGGATAGTAGCATTCATTGTGTAATCTGTTCTCAAATTAATAAGGAAAAATGCCCTTCTAAATAATGTAGTGAATTATGGGTTTCATTGGGAATTGTTCGAAGATTCTTTTATGGTCTAGAAGCATGCTTTAAAAAAACTTGGATTTAAAATATTGGATCCTGAAAATAATGTAGAAGTGTCTTATGACGTCTTTTTAATTGAAAATATGAAAATTGCATGATGTAGTTCCTTTGTTTTTTTGCATACGTATGGCACTATGATTAAGACTGAATGCTTTTTAGCTTATATTTCAAGAATGCTGGAATAGAAGGACATTCTGTCTGTCTTCCTCCCCCACCATCTCTTTGGGAACAGATGATACTGCAAAGATTTCACACTGGAAAAGAATTCCAGTTTTATTTATATTTTATCTACATTTCAGCACTTCGTTTGGAGGAAATCAGAAGTAACAGCTCGTTTTTGCTATTTGTAGGAATTTTGAGGGGGAGACTTAACCTTACAACTCTAGGGAATGATTCATAATCAGTGTGATGAATTCAGTGTTACGGACTGGCCTCTAAGCTGTCATTAGGTAATTTGTGATGTTAGAACTATTTAAAATTTCACTAAAATTTCGTTTCGAAGAAGATGAAGAATAATAAGTTCAAAATCTCAGTGCTGTGGGCTTATGGACGAAGTAGGTATGGAGTGTTTTTTAATCAGCCCTATTGTCTTGTGATACGTTACAAATTACTCAGTGAGTTAGAATTCATGTCAGGTTCTTTTCCTGGGAAAGAAAAGGCCGAGAGCAGTTGTTGCGAAGAGTTCTTTCAAAAACAGAAGTAAAACAGAACATTTTAAAATCTTTGCACCCTGTATCATAGAAAAGTAAGCCAACTACACCAATAATTTCTTTTTAAATTAGTTCATAGAATCATAAAATGGCCTAGGCTGAAAAGGACCACAATGCTCATCCAGTTTCAACCCCCTGCTATGTGCAGGGTCACCAACCAGCAGACCAGGCTGCCCAGAGCCACATCCAGCCTGGCCTTGAATGCCTCCAGGGATGGGGCATCCACAGCCTCCTTGGGCAACCTGTTCCAGTGCATCACCACCCTCTGGGTGAAAAACTTCCTCCTACTATCTAACCTAAACCTCCCCTGTCTCAGTTTAAAACCATTCCCCCTTGTCCTGTCACTATTCACTCTTGTTAACAGTTCTGGATCTCTATAAGTAAACTTTTTGGAAATGTACCTTTGTTTTCTGTAAATAGGCATTTTTCATGTATTTATTGCTCTATTTTAAAACTTGCATTAAAATTAATGTAGAATTTTTGAAATTTTGGGGAAGTATTTTGTTGCACAGAACCTTAAGTAAAGGATCAGACCTTATCAATATGATTTATAAACTATCAATTCTTATGAATCTAAAGAAGCATTACCTTCTCTTGAGGGAAAAGCTAATTCACTTAAATGCTAAGTGAACTGCTTGCAATTGTAGATTTATGATAGTTGTGTAAGTACTCTGAGGACGTATTTGATTCAGTGCTGGTAATTGGCAAATATAAGTTTGCCACATGTGAAAATCCACTGTGTTCCAGACCTAGCTGGTAGATAACAGAATGTTTCTGTGTGCTGGAAGGAAGGGAATAAGGAATATAAAGTTGTATGCCAGATGGCAGGAAGTTTTTGAAGAGCTGCTGATGGTGTGTTTACTGCTGCTTCACCTAACTACCTATGAACAATGCAGCGAAAGGAATTAGCGAACCCTTCCCCTTTTTTGGAAAGTATCTTAATTGGAGAGATGCTTTGCTGATGGATCCTAATACAGACAGGTTTGGTTTTTTTGTTTTGTTTTGTTTTGTTTTTGTTTTTGTAATACTTATTTAATTCTAATGAGGTTTAATTCTTGAGAATTAGCTTGAAAATACTGCTGGACTTTTTGTTTGCTTTTTGAAGATTTAAAATTGTCATAGATCCAGTTGTTTACCTATGGAATTGGAGTAAAGCACACAGTTTCATGGACTCTGCAGCTTTAAAATAATATACTATCAAATCATGTAAAAAGCAAACCAGAAATCGTAGTTACTGTGCTGATGTGCATGGTGTCTTACCTTAGATCCGGGTGTGTCAGATGAGCCTCAGGGCTTGACATCTTGACCAAAGTCACAAAAACAGAATAAAGGAATGAGAGCTTCTCTGTATAATGACCTCATATGTAGATGATTCTGGAATTACTTGTACCAGCTGATACAGCAAATCTGTTAATTACCAGAGGAGAATTTCAGTACAGTGGGCCATTAAGATCACTTTGTTAGTGACCATCTGATGCTCCTGATTGTATGCAGAGGCATGTTTTAAGGGTATGACTGACCCTTTAATAAGCAACTAAATAGCATGGCTCTCACTGCACAATTCAGCCAAGAGTGAGAATAGCAAGTAGGACAAGCAGAATATGTCCAACTTTGCCACTTTTTTCCTGTAGGGTCTTTTTGATTTCCAAGGTATCATACATCTTTGTAAGCTACCATTTTTGGAAACAAAAAAATTGTTCTTGATATGAGGAAGTGGTGGTGGCAGATAAGCATCTGAAATCCTGAAGACAATATATTATGCAGTGCCCATGAGCTACAAGCTTACTTACTAAGAAAAGTATGAAAGAAAACTATATTTTACACTGCTGACTAAAAACTGTGGAATTGCCTAATCTCTTATTTAGCAACCGTAGAATGGCAGATTCCTGATTTTTGGCTGATACTGATTACATAAGCAATTGGAAGCAATGTAGCAATTAGGAGTGCCTGTCCTTTCAGAATGATGTGCTGTATGTGCTGGGAATGGATTGTTAGTGTCATGTGAACTCACTATTGACACCAACTGTATTGCTTACTACGACCACCTGTACTGCACCTACCATCTCATACTTTCTGGGGTTCAAAAATAAAGCTATTTTTTAGCTCTATTTATATCTTTGCACATTTATAAGCGTGGTCTCTGAAGTTTCAAAAGTCCCAATTCTAATGCAGTTCTGTTCTTGCTGAGACCTTATCTTGGAGGCATTAAAAGTGATCAGGAGAGTCTGAATTACTGTAACATGAGTATATATGTAATGTTATGAAAATATTTAGGTCTCTATTTGGGAGAATACTACTGTAATATAAAACTAGCAACAGTCACAACGATATGACAATATTAATATACATTGGTTAGAAGAAGAAATTCTCACCTAGTAGTTCACACACAGTCTGAAAATATAGTGCCATTTTTGACCATCTCCACATTAGAATCTGTATTTATTTTGATAGCAAAGTAGACTATTTTAATTTTCATATCATTAATATAGTTTAGCATTAGTTTTCATTCCTCCTCGATGTCATTCATACTAATCCATTTTCTTAGGCACTTTCATTGATGTTAACAAAAGTTTGTATGAAAAGCAAAAGAGGAGCTGAGCTATGGTGGGCTGAATACTGCTTTACTACAAGTGAAACATAGACAAAAACAAAGCTGTAAATGCAAAGTCTTATTTGAAAGGCAAAAATTGTGCAAGTTTTGGTACGCATTTTTACTAATTGTCAGTTAGTGAACAAGTATGGCATTTCAGAAGTAGGACTTTCTAAACATCTTGTCAAAAAAGAAATTCAACAAATTACTTTCAATGTTTGTGAACCAGCAGCAGAAGCTATCTTTCTACGTAGACACAGATTATTTCTTACAATCAGCAGTTTACACCAGTGTAATATTTTAACAGTGTGGACACTTGAGATTCTTTTAATGCTTTATGGGACCACTTCAAAGAAATTAAGTAGAGGAGTTACTTTTGAGAAAAGGTAAGACAGGCTTTCCTTACACATACGCAGCTGGTGAATCTTATGTCGTTTGAAACAAAGGTAGGCATGGGTTATCATGATTAATGTTACAATGGTAATTTCTCTTGATAAAAGATGGTGATAAATTCTTTCACAGCTGGCTTTTACAGCAGATTTACTGAGCTCCTGTGTTCCAGCATGTTAATAGTGGTGAGCAACATTTAGTAAGTCATACAGTTATTTCTTAGGTGGAAATAGGAGTCTTCTGCAATGTTTCCCAAGTTTTCAGTCAGCTATTTGGACTACACATATTGAACAGATAGGAGGGATGGTAAGAAATTGCTTTTTTTGATATAAAAGAACCTCATGAATACTCAAGTTACAAAAGACTTCAGTGTGACCATTTTTGGGACTTCAGAATCCTGCAGATGAGGTTATTACTGCATCTCACCTCCTCTGAAAACCAATTCCACTTTGCTACGTCAGCCAAAATTTTTCTCGAGATGACCAATTTGTGTCAGTGTAGAAATTACTAATTAAGTAAAACAGTCAGGGAAACTACAGTGGCTTGTTTTGTTTGCTAAAATTGGCAAAGCAAAGTAAAAAAATCAGCCAGAATG